GTTGCCCACTTGCCTCAAGTTGTTGTTGCGGTTTTGTTGCCATTTCCCTTTGTTTTGTTTGTTTTTGCGGTGCATGTTAAAGTGGCTTCAGCGGCTGCAGCCACCAATACTCCAGCTGCCACTTGGCTCGCTGGCAGCCATTTTTTATGGATGAAGTATGGAGGAGTGAGCGAGAAGGCAGCTGTGTGAATTTGATTACCGAGGAAAAGAGACATAATAGCGCATGCCATAATTATTGTCAGGCTTTGGCCTTTTTATACTGTCATGCCATGTGGCACATAAGATTGCACTTTGTTGCAAGTGCAAAAAAGTTGCGGGCAAAACAAACAAACAAACAAACAAATCAACAAACGCCAGACGATGGCCAAGAGCAACAAACTGCAGCAGCATCAACAGCGGCAGCTGACAGGCAGAGCGTCAACTGCAGCCATATGTTAGCCAAGTTTATGCCACTTTGTTACGTTACGGGGGCCAACATGTATATATAAAAAGGAGGGCAACTGCATACGAGATGAAACTGAAGTTTATGCCGGCAATTTGCCACTGCAACTGCAATGGCAACGGGCCATGCCTCTCTGCTTATCGCTGTTGCCGTTGAGGTTTAAGTTGAAGTAACAGTTGAAGTGACAGCAGGTACAGTCGAGCAAGCGTGAGGTGTGAAATTCTAAACGCATGAGAAGCTCTGAGAAGGGCGCTGAGGGTGCATGCATCAGGAATCGATGGCTACGTTACCTGAAAGCTTAACAAGCCAGTTAACCGGATAGGCAGCATGTCAAAAGGGAATGTGCGAGGGTAGCTTTACTACACAGCTCATAATAAGGGATAGAAAAAATAATTGAAAAATTCAATGAACTAAATTTAACAAATATGAGAAACTAAAAAATTCGATTTGTATATTTAATCTATCTGAGAAAGTAACTGTTGAAGCAACTTGTCTTGATGGAATTTATAACTATTTACGATCAAAATCAAATAACAGACTTAAACAATGCAGCTTAATATCTTTCGAAATATCATTTTCAAATAGTTGAATTAATAAATTTGTTTATTCAACAACAGTTTGCAAAGCTTAAGTTTCACAAATTATGATGTCGAAAGTTTTCCTTGATAATTGTTCAATATTCATGTTACTAGCAGCAACCACATTTGTTCCCAATCGAGGCCAAAATGTATGCCAATTTCAGAGCTTTACCGAATGTAAGATTATATTGTCAACAAATTGCCATCCATTTCGCTTCTCGGTTATGTAATGCGTATTACAAAACGTATTTTGTGTTTTGACAAGCTGTTAATAGGTTTTGAATCCGAATCCCCTACCTGTGCATTGCCAAGCGATTGTTACACAATATACTTTGAGGAACATTGCGCATACGCCGCATATGACGTTTAATTATTGTTGCATATTGCACATTTATGTGGAGTAACATTTTGTGGCACGTGGTTTATTGCACAAAGCATTATATGGGGCTTATCGAATGCTAAAACAGTTGCATATTAGATTAATTAAATGCAATGTAAAGCAAAGTTGTGAAAAACTATGCCTCAATTATTTAGACAGCTGCTGGCTTCACAGAGAAACGGGTAAATGGATATAATGGAAGAGAGAGAGGGAAAGAGAGAGCGAGAGAATTCCAGTCGAATGCAACTGCTCACATGCATAAACAATGCCACACGAGCCCAATAGGCGCCAGAAAAACAATCGAGTATTCCCACACGTGCTGCCATGTGCCGGCAATTGAAACTCAATTTAGTCAACAGGCCAGGCGACAGATAGAAACACACAGACAACAAACACTCCACTAGAGCCGACAAAAATGCATTTTACAAATTTCACGCCAATTGCCATAAAAGCCGTAAGTGAAATACATACTCAAGTGCAGCACCAAGGCTCCAACTCGGGCTCCAACTGTAGCACAGATTCAGACTCCGACTTCGACTCTGCCCGCTGTCTTTGTCGCCTTCTGGGTGTCCTTTGGCATTTGGCACTGATTCTGACTATGTCCTTATTCGACTCACGTTTAGCCAATGTGTCGCCACAGCGTTACAACGACAATCAACCAGCCGCGACATTGTTGTTGTTGTTTCTGCTGCCCTATTGAGCCTACCCAGCTGTTTGCCCACATTCATAGGCTCCATGTGCGCTTGGTTGGGCAGCGGCTGGCGGGTGGTTTGTATAACGCCTGGTTGGGCAATTAAATGTGGGGCGTTGGCCAAAACTTTAAAACAAATTGCCGAAACAACAAGAATTAATGTGAATTTATTTTCAAACTCATTTCGCTGTAATTGCCGAGCAACGTCAGAGAAAATAGAAGAAACACAAACGCGAACGTTCTGAGGTTCGCGCAAAACGAGGGCCACTTGAAGTAATTGTTAAAAAACATAATTAACAGCAGGAAATAATAAAAAAAAGAGGATATTGAACAATACAACAAACTTAAAGCGTGCAAAGTTTAGAGGAAGGTGTTTTTCTTTCTTTTGACAAACCTGACTCTAAATCCTAAAATTAAACTATATTTAAGATAAACAGAAGGAAAGTACATTAAAATAGATGAAAATCTAAGGAAGCTGGCGCAACGATTTGAAAAGCGAAATCCAACTTAAACGCAAGCATTAGTTCGAGCCAGGCCCTTTTTTAAGTTTATGCCCATAATAAACAACATAATTTGAAATATAAAAAGTATGGAAATAATTGGAAAAAACTGTAGGTGTTAATTATTGTCTGGACCTAACGCGTTTTTTAATTATTTTTTTATATTAAGCAAATTTATTTGGAAAAGCGTTTTCTGCCCAACTTGCAAGTCAACCCGTTTTGTAGCTGGCAATTTCCATAGCATTTATGGCCAGACCATTTACAATAAATTTTGGACAGCCTACACAGTAAAAGGCTTAGCACGCCCCTTCGCTCCCTTCTCAGTCCTTCCAGCAACATTTCAGCTGCTTTATGAGCTACAATTGTGGCCTGCTGTTCCCCTCCATTGCCTGTCGTCTGGCAACTGTAAATAACTTTGCTTATTTGAACATTTATTGGTGACGTAAACGGCTTGTAGCATTGTTGCCAGCCATTTGGCCAAGGATGGAAGGATGTGCAGTAGGCTTATTGCCGATTTTTACTCGTGTTAATTTCCTGTGTAACTCGGCATTTGTGAAATAACAGCAGGCCCGACTGAATAATAATATCCGAGACTCAGACTCTGACTGAAGCTCTATGGCTCAGTGGCTCAGTCACGAGTTCAAGTTGAGTTTACGAGTGACTCGTACGGATACTCAAACGAGTATGTGTCAGGTTAATGCCACCGGCTGTGAATTGGTCTTCTAAAGCTCGTAAAACTCGTTGGCGGTGCCTTGCCATGTTGCATGCTACATAAAATATGATGAAGGGCACTTAAGCAGGCCGACACCGTCTCGTGTGTTGACAGCTATCAAATGTGTACACAACATGCATAAATGAATAAGGCACAGACACACACACATACACATACACATACACATACACATACACACACACACACACTCACCGACAGCGCACAGCCTTCGGGAATGGTTGGTGTTTGGTGACAGGCCTTTGTTTTCATAAATATTAAAGAAAGCTAAAGCTTTTGGCCTGCAAAATCAACGCCAAATGCCAGCAGAAAATTTATGAGCAGCCAAAAAATAATAACTTTGCAGCATTTGTTTACCTAGTTACCAAAGTTGCCACCCTCAGTTGCATAATATAATTTATAGAATTTATGCAGTTGCAGTTGCTACCTTTGGGCAATAATTCAAGACAAGTTTGTTGCACAGCTTCGACAATTCCAGAAGGTGGCCGACGGAAACTTTAAGAGGTAAAGAAAACCTGTCTCAAAGAAAACTGCTTGAGGAAGGCAGTTTTGCTAACAGCATTAAAAGTGTTGCAGGTGAGGCATTAAAACAATAAAGTGACTAAGCGAATTTTAAGAAAATAATATCAGAAAAGTTGAACTTCATTTTCTCAATCAAACTTTGCACAATTACGTAGCAAAATACAAAGTATATTTTTTGCGAATTATCAGAAATAGGTGTTGAGCCCAAAACATTCAGTGTACAGGAGGTGAATATGCATTAAATTTCGAATCTAATTGGTTGTAGGGAAAACTTTCAAATATATATTTATTTATTTTTATACATTTGTCATTTTGTTTAAAGTTTTATATATATTTGTAAAATTGATATACAAAATGTACTGTAAGAATCTTTATCATTACCGCATTTAAGCCACGCACACAATTATGAGTAAATTAATTGACTCCAGCTGTGATATTCTATACCTTAGCATTTCACTTGACCGCAACGGTAACCAATAATTGGAAACAGGAGCTGCTGAGTAAAATGAAAGGAAAAAGTCAATCAATTAAGTCCATATACCATTACAGCTAACAAACGTAGCTTGAATGCAACTTGCCAGCAACCCCTTGATTGAGCTGCCAGCAACCCCTGGACAAACGATCGACAGTTACCCCCTTTTCGACACCGCCAACACTTAGCAACTCATTAACGTTTGTGCTGGGCACTGTGAGCTTTTGGTAAACGAAATCAAATTTACGCCTATTGATGGCAACTGACCCTAGGCCTGGGTTAAAGTAGAGAGAGGGCCAGTGAGGGGTATGGGCTGGGTTTCTGGCAGATTATAATCTGCTACAAATGAGGAAATCCCAGAAAACCGACAGATTAAATTTGTATGCCACTTGTAAAACGGATGTGGGGCATGTGTGTAAAGTATGTTGGCTTCCGTTTGGTAAGCTAGCCGGACTTTGTGTGGGTGTGTGTGCGAGTGTGTAGGTGTGTGTGCGCCCATGCGTTGGTCATAAAGTTTGCCACATGTGAAAAACAAAAGTCGCCGAGGCACACAAACACAACACACGCAAGCTTAGTAGATACAGCTACAAAACGAAAGAGCATTTCATTATTTATGGAAAGGCAACGCAAATTATACACACACACACACATTGGGGAAGTATGTATGCCTGAGTAATTTAGAGAAAATGGCTGCCACACTGTGGCGGCTACCCAACGCTCTGGCAGTTAGTTAGCCCAAGTAGAGAGAGAGAGGGAGAGAGAGTTGTGGCAAATGTAATTTTGTGTAAACATTTTCATGAATGAAAACGTTTTTGGCGTCGCATACACACACACACACACCAACACACACATGCACACGGACGGGCGTCGTCAAGCCTTGGGCTTGTTAACAATTGTGTAGCATATTTTTGGGGGTCACTCGAGCATGCCACATGTTGCCAGTTTAGTTGCCGCCCAGGCTTATGTATTTCATAGGGAAATATGCTCACTAAATTCTCTAGTTCTCCATACACACACTCACAGACAGAGAGAGAGAGAGCAACTACATGTTTCCTGCCTAATGTGTGTGCATTTAAGCACTCGAAATTAATTTGACATTTTTATACACTTAGCAAAGCCGCACAAATTGTGCACATAACTTGCCTATTCGTAAATCCCCAACAAACTTGCCAGCCCTGCAGATTAACTCTACCCAATTTACTGACTACTTGTGCCTATAGGGTATAATTTCTCTTTAAATGCCTGACAGCTTAACGCTTTTTAGATCGTGCTTACCTTCCAGGTGTTTTTTTAGCTGCCCTGCACTAATTTGTCCAGCTACAAGAATCGGCTTACAGTTCGAGTTGATTTCATGTGCGGTTTTGTGGCAAAGTTGCAACTTGATTAATGACAGTTGCATGCGATTTCAATTGCTTCCGACTGACCACAGAACGAGAGAAAAGATTGAGTGCCAAAGACAGAGAGAGAGAGAGCGAGAACGTTCGTTGCATTGTTCTGTGCGGTTGTTTTCAATTTGTCACAGTACAAACCAGAAACTGTCGCACATTCTTCACAGTTTATATTCCATTTGCCACAGCATTTATCAATCGGAGAAACTCGGAGACAGCAATGCAACCCATTAATATTATTTTTGGTCAAGCAGCTTTATTTTCGTTCTGTTTATTTTTTATTTTTAAAATCATGTTATTAATTATAATTTTGCGAAGCGCAATTAATTGGCTGAAGTCTGTGTGCTTAAAAGCACAAAGGATTCTCAGCATGGCTTGAATTTTTCTCCATTTATTACGAACTGTTTACCAAAGAGCACTTACTCAATGTTTAACGTTTAAGGAGTACTGAAAATTGCAATCAACTTTTTATAACTTTTAAAGACCACTCAAGTTATAAATAATTGCATAAAAATTTATTCATATAATAATGACCATAAATGTGCGGGAAACGAGACAATTTTTATCTGTCACAGATAGTAAGAATTTGATAACTACTTGTTAATATTTTATTTCACATCAAAAAAATATTCCGAAATATCTCAAGCCGATTAAATTATCTTTTATTAATTTGTCCATAAAAAGCAGCAAACAAACTTCATAAATTTACTATTCGAAATGCAAATAAGCAAGGGAGTTCCAGGTTCGAATCATAGGATTTTGTGTTGTATATAAAAAATTTTAGTTGTAAATTAAGTACAAGACACAAGAATAATTAAAAATATTCAAATTTAATGACAATCAATCAGCCAACCCTAAGTCCAAGTCTAACTCTCATTCATTTTACTTATCCAGGCAAAAAATAATTGTTTACTATTAAGTAATAATTACTATTGCTTAACTCGAAGAAATTACATGCTTAAAGTTGTCTGTGACTTTGCCGGAGCAAGCGCAATTTGCGACATTGTTCGCATTCCTTGTCGGCAAGTTTCGGGACAATCCACTTAAGAGCAGAGCTTTGGTGCGATTTATAGACCTGCCCGTTGACTTCTAACATATGCATAATTTTTCAAGTCTCTCTTGCTCGCTTCGCATAGAAATCATATCATAAAATAAAATCACAAGTGCTTTTAATTTGTCGTAGTAAATGCACAGCCCCCTCCGAGTAACTTGCTGTCAGAGATTCGAGCTCCCACACACACACCCCACACATACTGTGCTGCTCGTTACTTAGCGCACATTTAATTTTGTTACCAATACTCAAGCACTTTCCGGCACACACATAAGTAGGTGGTGGGACTTTTGATTGGGGTTTTCTGTTCGTTTCTGTTCTGCGAGACTTTGGCGCAAGTTTTGGCGCGCCATAAAACTATGCGGCAAATTTATATGTTGCTATGCTTCAGCGTCTGCTGCTCGTGAATAATATGGGCGTGACAGCAGAGAAAGAGATATATACAGAGAGTGAGAGAGAGTGAAAGGGAGAGATTGCTTATGCCAAATGTTAATGATGATGATCCTACTTGAACCCATTTACGCGTGTTGTTCTTGCCAATATTTGAATCGGTACGTGCAAAAACAAAATTCAAATGCATTTTGTGAGATTACTGCAGTTCAATTATTCAAATTGGTTGTTTGTCACTTAATTCATTTAATTAATATTTAAATTTAAAAATGAATAGCTCATTCAAATTATGAGCATAGCAATGGCAATATTAATAAAAAGCCTGGCATTTTTGAGAATTTGATTTAGTTAAAGGTTAAGAACAAGGACAAATGTTAAGCCATTTATTGGAAAATAAATCCTTGGAAACTGAGTTATCTAAGCGAAAGAGGCTTAAATCAAAATAGATTATACACCCTGTAGGACTCAGGCCAGGGCTAATAACAAAGTTATATTGAGAAATATAATACAGAAAAAAAGACAATAATAACTTACCTTACGGCTTAAAGGATCCCGAGCTCTATCGAAATATTCCCAACAATCCTGAAAAGTTAATAAGAACAATGTATGAATATTAATATAAATAAAAGACAACAAAAATGATGCTTTGTCAATCAAAATGTGTACTTAAAAAGACAATTCAAATACCCTACACACATAGACTTATTATCAATTTCGGAATATCCTATTCCTTTCAAACAAAATATACTGCTTAAATTAATACAAGAGCCTTTATCTCAAATTTATGAAATGATTCAGATAAGTGAATAACGAACTGATTCACGACATACTTTACTTAGTTGCCATTTATACTAACCCGGAGCTTCGATTATTTGAAATTTTCGATATTTAGTATGTATTTTAGATGGATGGTAAATAGATTTTCAGCATGTTATACACCGCTCAACACCTCTTCTTGCTTTAGAAGCATTTTAAACATTAAATTTTGTGGCTTGGACGCAGCGAAAAATAATCGCTGGCATCGGTGAAAATTGAATTTGCGAGTGTTGAGCCGCAAACGCAAAAACCGCAAGCAAAATCTATGCACACACACAACACGCACACACACACGTAAAGGCACACAACACACACACATACGGCTATCTCTTTCGCGCGCACTAAACATGCTTAAAAAGCAACGTGTGTAAGCCACAACACATTTAAAATGCATAAAGCGTTTGCGTCCCAAGGCAGGCGAAATAGGGGCGTGGCCATAGAGCAGACAGACGCCAATGCCTGGTTTTAAGCCTTATAAATTAGCGGTTAGATTGAGCGTCATAAATCGTGTGATTATTTTTAAAGTGCCTGTGCGTCTGTATGTTTATCTAGGACAACGATTTTGCGCCCACTTTAAAATCTCTCAAAAATTGAAAAAAGGTTGCTTGTCGCCCTGCTTTTTAGGCGGCACTCTGACAAGGTCCCAAATATGATGTAGGTTCTGCAGGTGGCAACCGGCCAACAACAGCAAAAAAAAAAGGGACGATACCATGTCGATCGATATTCGGGATTGTAAATGACAGAAAAAAAGAGCAATAGAATGGGAGAGGATAGAAACAAATGAAGTAAATTTAATATAATATAAATGGAAACAAAAGAGTTGGATAACATTCGAAATATACACCAAATAAAGGTCGAATTATGTTAGATTTCAACAGATAGCTCAATGGAATGCACAACATAATTGGAAGGAAGAACAATGTACAAACATTTAAAATTTGTAAGAAAATAATAATAGGGGTTAAATTTGACATAATTGGAAATCAAGACACGATTCTTATTACATAAATAACTGGAAAATGGAAATATAATACATTCAATTCTTGGTATAATATATGATAGAAAGGAAATATAAGATAAGATAGAGCTGGAAAGGGGTAATTTGGGGCAAAAACAAAGAATTTCTAATTTTCCCACTTGCCTATAAAAATACATAGAAACATTTAATTAGTTTGTTTATATATTTTGTTCGTCCCTCACTCACGGCTTTTGCGTATATGTAAACTAAACCTGCATGCAGCTCATACCGGTGCTCAACATCAACGTGCATTCTTTTAGGCAGCGACAATAATTTGCCTAAACGATGGCCCAAAATTTATGTATCTAATTAAAATGGAGAAGCATAAAAAATGAGCTCATGAATGCGCTACACTGCGTCTCAGCTGTGTGTTTAGCGCTTCGCCTAACTTCATGCCGCATAAATTTCGCCTAGTGCTCTAGTCCTAGTCCTGCTCGTCCTACTAGTCCTGCCACCCACCAATCCTAGGCCCTGCCCTGTTCGTATGTGTCTGATGCGTGCGCGTTTGGTGGGCCCGTTTGGGAAGGGGCTTTCACCCCTCTGGGGCAGGCACAAGCTGTTTGTTTATGCTCCCGAGCTGCATTTTTATGTGCTGCCAGTGCGCCGACAACAGCAGGCCACTCCATCAGTTGCCCAACTACACTACACACTACACTGCACAACAAAACAGCAGCAGCACAGGCCCACTGTCAACATGGACATACAGTGTGTAAAAAGGCTATAAATATGTGAGAGCTTCTTCGAGCTAGCAATATGGACAGACTCTCCAAAAATATAATCGACAAGAGATCTAGACCAATAATCATAAACCGGCACAATACAAAATATTATGCAAATAAGCTGACAGAATTTCCTGTGCAAGGCTATAAAAAAGCTATAAATCAAATTTATAATCGAAACTACATTTTATTTTAAAGTGAGAGATCAATCAGAAAACTAAATTCTAAAATAATAAAAACAATTTTTTAAGCTAATTGGCAAATATATAAGGAAAAATATAAATAATAAATAATAATATATATATATATGAATTTATATCAAATTATTTAATTAATTTCAAATGAATTAAATATAGAAAACCACGAAAAAATTAATTTAAACACCATATTTTTGTCGAACATCAATTTTAAAAGAGGCAACATAAGCGTGACTACAATTTTAAGAAAGAGTTCTTAAAAGTCAGGATCTACGAATATGGCATCAGTTAGATACGCAAAAAAAAAAAATTAATACTTTTGACGAAATAAAATTTTGAAACATGCAAATAATAACTATGCAATAGTGAAAGTAAACTTCTAGTAAAATTGAATCGGTTAACAGCATGAGAATAAATATAGAAATCTACTCAAAAAAATATTCAAGTATGTTTAAAGCCAAAATCAGCAACTAATATTGGTTTATTCAACAGGTTTCTTCGAGTTTATCAAATCAATTTCCAGGCACTTTGCTTATATGCAGATTTGTAAATTTTGTGTTTGTATTAATCAGTCAATCTTTATTGCATTCGAAGCCATTGAATTTATCAATTTTGATTCACAACTGGGTGCACAGTGTGCTGGGTCCAGAGGTGGTGGTGAGCCGTGGGGGCGTGCCAGCTCTTTGCTATTTGGCTTTAGCGTTGCTTTTTAATAAAATTAGCTCCGGCATTGGGTGCTTGTTTATGCAGGCAACAGTCAAGCGAACCCGAAGAGCGGCTCTCATGCTGCACAGAATTTGGTTGATGTACGCATGCTAGTGTATGTGTATGTGTGCTTGCGTGTGCATATGTGTGTGTGTGTGTGTGTGTGTGTGTATCTGGCCGTGTGGGCGTGTGTACTTGGCTGCTTATTATGCATGAATTTCAAATGAAGTCGCGAACGTGACACAAACTCATGACCGCCCCCAAGCGCCCACTTCAACGGCCGCACCCCTTACAAGCAAAAGTTGTAGTATAAAATACGAGAACAGCGTACTCTGCCTTTTTTGCTGCTTGCTAACACACAAAATTTACACATTCGCATTACGATATGCATTTAATATGAGCAGGTCGCAGGACTCTAGTTGAATTTCCTTTGGCAACAAAAAAAAAACAAAATTGAAAAACTCATAAAACTCTTTGCTCCAAATGAGAATTGAAAAATGGCAATGGGTATGGGACTAAATGTCGTCGTCATATTATGCATATGTGTAGTTAAAGCCATAATGAAATTTGGGCAAATGGGCGCTGATTGTTTATAGCTCATAAGTGGGCCCCACTTGTGCCCCAAGGTCACGGATCGGAAATAGAGCAAAGCGCGAACTGACCTACGAAATGGAGTTCGGGTATAACTGCGGCATATTATGCAAACGACTGCGCTAGGGATAGAAAATTGAATTGCTTTCAGTTGTTGTTGAGATGGCCATGGAAAATATTGAAATTAACATACAAAATAAGCAGCTAAATTCTAAATGGAATTTCCTTTATTGTTGGTTGAATTTTTGGATATGCCTTGACAGCAGTATAGAGCAAATTTTTTGTATTGTATTATAATCAATCTGGAAGTAACTTAACGTTGATTGCTGTAGATTTTGTAGGCAGTTGTCTTTATTTTTCAGCTAAAAAGTTCAAAAATAATTTATGGTCAATCATGTGACAGTTCTCAGGTATTCCTAGTTGGAAAGTGCTTATAATTAAACCCACTGAAAATTGTATTCTTAGATCCACAAAATCCCAGTTTAAATCACAGTTTCAACAACATTTTCACGCCAAGTTTTCACTGAAATGAGCAGCAAACTTTTCGACATGCTGAAAACTTACCCTGGGGTATAAGCTATTTATGCAGAAAAGAGCACGTTTTCATTTTCGAATTACGAATACTGAAATCAGTTGAATGTTGTTTTGTAAGTTATGAAGTTTTAAGCTAACTATTAGCGAAGCTCCCCTTAGAGCTCAACCAAACTCTTTCCCCTCGCGCGCATCTAAGCAATGCAATTTATTAAACTAACTACTTAAGCATGCGAATAAAAAAAAAACTGGCACACACACAAAACAAGTAAGTGAGCCAACGATGAGGATAGGCGACTAGTATATACCCTCTAAGCATGCATAAACGAATAAATGCAGCGTTCATCAAAGTTGGGGCTTATTTTCTAACTATTGTACAATTTAGGACTATAATATGGAATTCAAATATGCCAAAAACTTTGATATATGGAAGTCTACAAACTAAAATTTGGTTCCTCATTTCTATTATGGAATCTATTCTATTTCCTTAATGGAATCTGATTTGAATACGTCCATAAAAATTGTATACTTTATGTTATCCATTGTTAATGAGTACAGGGTATACAAATAATCTAACACACTCTCAAGGCGGGAAGCACTTAGACTCAAGCAGCACAGCGAAGCAGCAGCTAAAGAACCAGGAGCAGTGTGAGAAGGGGGGCTCGCTTGAAGACCGGGCGCACTCAAGTGGCGGCAACACACTTCAAGGAGATATTTTCAACACGCTTTGGCTTCGACAGCAGCAGAAATAGCAACAAAGCAGCAACAAGGACAATGGGCGCTAGGCATTTGCAACTTAATTGCAAGGTGTGTGTGTGTATGTGTGTGGGCGAGTATGTAGAAGGGCGTGGCATGTCCTTTGCATAATGCATGAGTCGACGACACACGGGCTCGTCATAATCATTTTGTCAGCTGCCTGCTACGCGCTAATTGCAATTAAACAATAATATGAGTGTACGAAACAGCAACAAGCATTGCAAAAGAATGGGCGAGAGAGAGAAGGAGAGTCTCTAGTGGAAATTTGTGAAAAATTCGTTTAGAAAAGTGAAAATGGCGCGTAATTGCGTGGACTATAAGCGAAGCGTTGCGCATGTCGCGCTTTACGCAGCAAAAGGCGTTTAATTAAATGTTAACAGCAACACAAAACAACAACAACAACAACAACAGCAACAAGAGCAACAAGGGCTAACGACAATTAACAAAGCCTTATTGTTGTTTCTGTTTCTGTTTCGAGTCTCGTTTGTTGTCTTTGCCATTGTCTGCATGTATTTGCATATCATTAAGCCAAGCAATAATAAAAATTGCGCTCTTTCTCTCGCTCCGAGTGCATTATCAACACTTGTAACACATGCGCGATGGCTAGGTAAAGGGGGGCGGAGCGGCGGGTGTAAGCCATGTATTTAATTGCCAACTGAAGTTTCCTTCAAAAGCCGGCACAAAATGCGAAAGTCAATTCTCAAAGAGAAATACTTTGTCTCACTTTTGCAGTTTTAATTGTTAATCGGAAATCAAAGGCAAAAAGCTGAATGCTCTGAAAGTGATGCTTGTACATTGGGCTTTAAGCCTTTGCGATTTTTGTCAATTTACAGCTGAAAAAAAGAAAAAAAGCAGTGATCCAAAAGATAGCGAAGCATAACAAAATGTTCGTCATTTTGGTTTTGCTAAGCTCTGAAGTATATTTTTATACCCTGAACCCATTGAAAGTGGGTAAAAAGGGTATTATGTGTTTGTGCAAATGTATGTAACAGGCAGAAGGTAGCATCTCCGACCCCATAAAGTGTATACATTCTTGATCAGCATCAATATATATATATATAGGATATAAGATATACTGTAGAAAATTTCATTAAGATCGAACCAAAGTTAAGTTTTACTGCGCAATTGGATAGGGCAGCTAGCGCAAATTGCAAGAATTTCTGTATACATGTACAAGCACACATTCATGCGCGTCTGCTTCGAATTTTATCAACATCAGTGCAATTTCGATTGTTTTCTGTGCTGCTATTTAATTCATTTTTTTTTTCTTAGCAATACTTAGTTATTGGTGTGGCTGTTGAGTAGAGGCATAGCAAGTTACTTCAAACGATTTTAAAATTCCCTAATTTAATTTTTTAAAAATTAATCAAATATAAGCCTGTTTAAAGATTTAAAAAGCCATTATTTTCCGTAAGGCTTAGTGTTAAAATAATTTTTCTAACAAGTCCACTTTAATATAGTATTGGCTCTTGCCTCTTCCACTTAAAATGTAGTGCACGGTGTTTTATAACAGCCCGTAAAACGGCCAGGACAAATATTTGAGCTGAGCAACAAAAAAAAGAAAGTTGGAAAATTTACGAGGTGTGGTGAGTAGAAACTGGGATAGCCTCACGTTTATCTAGTCGAAACACAGGTCGGGCAAAATTGACAACTCAATTGCGAAAACTATTTACACGCAATTAGGCGAAATGACAGGCCACAGGCCGCATCAGAGCACGGCAAAGTTGTCAAGTGAAATGGGGAAAAGGCACATAAAAAGAGGTATAACAAAAGGATAGGTTGCCTGCTCCGCTGCGTCTGGAGTGTAAATATTGACCAGGCCTGAACAAACTGTGGCAGCCACCCGGGCAGACACCGAGGTGGCCAACAAGGCAGCAGCTCATTCATAAATGCATTAGTTAGTTGTCAGCCAGTGCAATCGAATTCATGTTGGCATTAACTATAAATTATGCAGTCCATGAATTTGACATGGCTCAGCAAACCACTTGGACACTGACCACCAGCCACGTACGTATACTTGTCAAGGTGACTGTAAACGGATTCTCTGTTTATTACATGAGCCGCATTTCCATATGCAAAGGACACGCCAGCATCAAAGTTGCAAGTGGCACTAATAATATATAATACAAAATATTACTCGGTTTTGCTTGGACACGGTATTTTCTCAACATTCATTTTAACTTTTAATGTGTAGACAATAAATTTGAAGCCGATCGGACGAATGTGGTACATATCTTAATACAATTATTTTTTAGCTAAGTGGGTGAATATTCGGAAAAGTGTGAAACACATTTCCAATGAGCTTTTAATTTTTCGATTAACCGTGCACCCCGTCTTCAAATTTGGTGACTACTGTAAAAAATGCGGTATCCTAGCTCTTACGTTTTGGGCTCCGAGTTAATCATCAGTCTGTCAGCCGTTTGGGAGCTAGAGTCTTAGATGTAAAGCGTTTATAAATTCCATTTAACTCGACTTATTTGTGTTGTGCAGCTTGACCCAGTTACACTCTGTTCTTTGGCCTTGAGAGACAGTTGTACAACTTCTCCAAGTTGTGCAGTTGTCCTCGCATTGCAGTTGACATTTGTTCATACATACACATACACACACACACATACACATACACACATACTCCCGCAATCATTGTGTTTGTACCTGTGTGTGTGTCTCTTGGGTCGCCCTCTTGCATGATTTAATACTATTTAACTTCTTTTGGTGTTTTGCCTCTCCATCGTATTTCGTTTTCGTTTCTTTTGCTCTGTTTTGTTACGCTTTTTGACATTTTGCGCTGTGATTTCCCATTTTTGCACCTTTTATTCTGAGTGGTTTTACGAGTACGAAAGCTCTCAGTTGCCCCCCTTCCCCTATTCCGCTCTTCTTTTATTGTTCAAAAATTTATGAGTTTTTTAACCTTGCTGCAAATGGCAGGGACTATGTGAAAAAAAAAAATAAAAACAACAAAAAAATACAACATTTTGCTGACAAACCCAAGCGCTCGACGGGTTGTCCCTGTGCAAAAGTTGATGTGGTTCTTCTCTGTGGGTGTGCGTGTGTGACAGTGGTTGTTGTATGTATGCCCGAAAAAGTGTGGGTGGGTCTGACCGTGTGAATGTTTGTGTTCCTCAGTAAATTGTTAATTACTATTGTGATGCGTTCTGTATTGTTATGGACCAATTGCTTACAACTGCAGCGGCAATGCGCAAAAGAACTGCCGCACATGCGGCGTATGCGCAATTTTTTATATTGACATTCAGCGCAATTAGAGGGCTTAAAAGATTTCTGATATGTGTATATTAATATAGCAATAATTTAATTGTTTTGAGGGTTAAGCTTTTCCATCACAAAATGCATTAATGGGCAACAAATTAATAAAAAAGATTTAAGAGAGAATTATCAGAAATATCACACAAATAAGATAAATAAAGAGACCTAGGGCGATTGATGAGCATGACAATGCTGTGTGACAAAAGAAGAGAGTGAAAAAAGGAAAAGGGGGAGGATGACAGTGCTTTAACAAGAGAACAAAGAACAAAGTAAAAAAAATGAAAGCCAATAAACTTTATTAAAGAGAAGTTAAAGGAAGAAAAATTTAACACAAAGAAAGCTGCAAAAAGATAAGACAATAGTCCTATGAAAGGAAAGGGGAGCGAAATAAAAGAGAACGATAGGATAGAGAGTGACTAACTTAAGAGTGTGATAAAGAGACAATCAAACAAACATTTAAGAGAAAATGAGACAGTATAAGTATAACGGTTGAAGAAGTATAAGCATCAGAAAAGAAGAGGCATGGAATAGAATAAAAGAAACAAAAATAGGTATCATTCCTAATTTTCTCCCACTGCATTTAACAAGATGTCACCCAGTTGTAAAATCTCAAAGTCTGACATAAATGTCTGCTCGCGATTCAAACAATGATGGATGTGCACACCTCTGTTATTGCGCATACGCCACGTTTTTACTGGTTGTCAGCGACACGGGCAACCATTTAGCGAAATTAAGTGGCTGCCAAAATTCGATTTGCTGAAAGATTTTTAATTGCTTCCTAATGAGCTGTCAGTACATATGTGTGTGAAAGTCGTTTATTAGCTAAATTTGTTGAATGTGCCATAAACATAAATCAGAATTGAGTTTTTGAAGCCTCCACTAATTGGCACACAACGTATTTTTCGCCTGTCTTTGCAGAAAGCTGTCAGGGACCACACGAGAAGCGCTTACTCAATCACCTGCTGTCCACGTACAACACACTGGAGCGACCCGTTGCCAACGAATCGGAGCCCCTGGAGGTTAAATTTGGACTGACGCTGCAGCAAATCATCGATGTGGTAAGTTTGTAATTTATAGGGATAGAGAAGCGACGACCACCAGTCAAAATTATCAAGCAGCTGCAACTGCAGCAATAATCAACTAAAATAATTATAAAATCAAATTAATGGAATGGCTTTCCAAGGCTATGCGGAGTTTTTTTTTTATGGGTAGCCGTCGCGACGGTCTAGAAAAAGCAAATTTAGGTTTGAAAAAAGAAAAATCAGTTGCTGACCACAGGCAGTTGTGGTTAGCCTTGGTAAGTGACATGTACCCGTCGTTCAGTACCTTTTCTTTAAATATTATTTTTTTACAAACCACAAATAGCTACAAATAGTTTAAATTGTATTTTTCTAATTTTTGTTTTTGACATGGCAAGCATCGCTCTTAACACATATGCATTTTGAATTTCTCAAGGACAATATACAGTTGAGTTTACGAGTAAAATGCTTTAAAGTGTCTATAAATATTTTATTGATCGGCAGCTTAGAGCAATATATTAAATTGAAAGCACACATCTTAAAAAAGATACAAAAATTACGAAGCTACATAAAGTTAAAAGATAATGAAAGCATTTAAAAAGGAAGTTGTTCAAGCTAACATCATCTAGATCTCAGTATAAATATTTGTTACAAAATCTTTTTAATATAAAAAAGGATTTTTATTCTTTGAACACATTTTGTAATTAGTCTTGGCCGAAAATATATAATATAATTTGTCATGAACTGAAAAGGGATTTTAATTCTTTAAATAAATAATTTTTATATATTTATTTGAACTTAAATATAGAAAGAGAATATAAAACAAATTTAACTCTTAAAAAAAGGAATTTTCATTTGAAGCTTTTCATTTATAGATAGATAAATTTATATAAATCATTTGTGAACTTTTATAACATCGAGTTTTACTTCAAGCCCATGTGTTATTTGGTCGCATTTATTACCCAAAGTAAATGTGCTTTTAGTGCTCATATACAAATTTATTTTGTTGAATTAATGTCAATTATTAAGTTACGTTTAAAATACATAATTCTCTTCTCGCTCATTCCCTTATTAAAGGGAAAACTATTTGAAAAAACCTCTTTTTAATCACACACTATATTCAGTTTTATTATTATAATTGATAGCATTTTGATACTTTAAATTCTTGATAGCACTATCAGAAAGCAAATTAAAACATTTTGATGTGCCCGTCGCGACGGTTTTAAGTTTGGCAAAAACTCTTTCTAAACAAAAATAAAACACCAAAAAAAATTAACACACAATAACAGTTAAATTTACGAGTTCTTGCGTTTTTTATAGGACGAAAAGAATCAGATTCTGACCACAAATGCGTGGTTAAATTTGGTAAGTGACATGTACCAGCCGTCAAATTTGTCTAGCACCTGTTTGTCTGTCTTTCTTATCAACTGCTAGGGTTTTACTTTTGGTTTTGCTTTTCATTTCTTTTGATTTGCTTAAATTTTTGAAACAAAGTGCGACTAACTTTTTAGCTAACAGTAAACACAAGCATTTCTTTGAAATAAACCTCTTTTATTTATTGATTTCGGAAGCGTCTTTATCAAATATGTGTTGTCTCGATATGTGTGTGAAAAATATACAAATATTATATTAAAAGTCAATTGAAATTTATTTGCTGTGATACACCGTTAAATTATATATTTATATATATATATATATATACATACATATATTGTTGTTAGTGCAAAACTGCAAATGGCAGTCACTTTAATTAAAAGCAATTGTTAAAAACAAAACAAAAACTACACACTTAAACGAAATAAAACTAAATAAACAAATAAATTTGAAAGCAATATTTGTGCTACCAGACATTAGTATAGATAAAACTATTGTAAACATCCTGTTAGCCCTCAATTTGGTCTGAATACTCAGCCTACAAAATATTTGATTTATACATTTTCATTTAACTCGAACTTGGGCCCCAGCTCGTTATAACTGCCTTGGCATATGGATGAGGGCTCTTGCTAAATTGGCATAAATTGCCATAGAGCACTCCAGCCATAAGCACAAACAAATAAATCAACACAAGCAAGTTGAAAAGCGTTAGTCGACCAGCAGATACCCTGTAGCTGTAGCTCTTTTCTTTAAAGCCTTAAATAACTTTTTGGTTAGGCTGCTAATCTTTATGAAGTTGGGATAGTTATGAAAACTTTCTATTATAATAATACCAATACTTGAATTTAGATGTCAAATGGAAGTTGGAAAAAATCAAGAGGAGCTCCGATGACTATTATTATGTTTTTTTAGCACAAGTTATTTTATGTCAGTCAAGAATATTTTTATGTAGTTTCAAGTTTCGAAATCCAAGCTTTGGCTAGTTTACTTCCAGCTCACTTTTTGCTCGTATGCAGGGTATAAAACAGCAACATAAATAAAAATTTATGCACAGCAACAATTTTTACGCTTCGTTTGTGGCACACCTGAAGCTGGTGCGATTGATCAAAAACCCCTTTTCAATAAAATTAATAGCGCATTTTTTCTGCGAGATTTATGACTGAAACCAATAATTTTCAATTTGTAAAATGCTTTTTTGATGTTTTGCATCTAGAACTAAAATATAGCTAATTGTTGGGAAAACAACAACGCAACACAACAAACACAAAAACAACAAAATATGAAAAAAAAAAAAAAAAACAAACAAAAAAAGCTAAAAACATGTTTAAAAATGAAACCTGCATCATTGTTGCATAGTGCACCAAAAAAACAAAACCAAAACCCAAATGAAAAACTAAAACATTTATTATTAAACATTTTTTTTAGCAGCGTGTCTAGGCGTTTTTGTCGTTGTCTTTGTGTGGTTTTGACATATATGAATTTATATATGTGTCTAAACTTTGTTTCAGTTAAATAAATGTTTTTTCCTATCCAACATTGTTTACCTTTGTTCTCTACTCTTTTTTTTTTTTTGTTGTGTTCCATGTTTTGTCATACAAATTAAATAAACACATTAAAATCGAATTTAATTAAATGACAGCTTGGATTAAAAATATGTAACGCAATGCCCTTAAAATGTTGTCTGAGTTTGTGCCAGAAATGATAATAATATTATTTGACTATGAAAAAAAAAGATAAATAATTATTATATTGCATATTAATTTTAAAATGTGCCCATATCCATTATATCTGTTTGATTATAATTAAATCAATATCAAAAGCGGAAATTTCACTTCACAATTTAAATCTAAATAAAAATGTTTCATTTAATTTCAAAATGTTATAGCAAAGTAGCTACTATTAAATCGTAAACAATTATTAATTAAATTGTGCACATTCATGGATTAAAAGCATTTTAAAGCGATTATTGAAAAGTTCAGCTACAAAGCTATCAAAAACATCTTGCACAAAATAATCAGGAGTTATTTACTCAAAAGCAGATTTGTCAAAATATTCCACAGAAGATCATTTGGTTGTGTGTTTAAATCCTTATTAAATGAGCTTCTACAACAGCAGTTGATTGCACAAATTAAAGGATTAAACATAAATTCTGGCAAGTGCTTCAAGTCAGACAACAAACAACTTGTATGAAGTGCATTAGAGACAAATTAAAGCAAGCATTAATACACTTTTAATTAAAATTTAATTAACATAAATATAATTGTGCGACTCGTGTTAATTTATCACTTGAATTTTAGAGTATTTGCTCATTTTTGTGTTTTGAACTGCAACCTGCCCACTTTTTGGTATGTGTGTGTGTGTGTGTGTGTGTGTGTGCGTGTTTTCTTATTTATCATGTACTAATACATGTGCGAGTATCTATTACAGATTATGTTTGATCAACTTAAATTATTGCTGGGTACATGTCATAAATCGTTTCCAAACAACTGAATAAAAGCCAAAAAAATATATATATATATATATATTTAAATAAAAAAAAAAAAACAACAACAACAAAAGACGGCATGCATGTTGTTTAAAAACTAAACTAAATTTAACTAAATAACTAACCTAGGTGTTCTTTTTGTATCTAAACATAAATGTATACACAAATCTAAATGAAACCTAAAAAACGAATAGTAGCTATATATTTAACGAAACAAACAAAAAAGAAAACGATTCGGCTTTAATGTGCGGTACGAAATGTTAATTAAAGCGCTGTAATTAGTTTATTTATTACATTTCAAGGTATTTGCATTTTGATAAACGTGCATTTGATTTATGCACTACTTTGCGATTGATTCATTGATAGAAAAACCGCAGCGTTTTGTTGATTTGCAAACCGCATTAATTATTCAACCTAACTGCAGCTTTATGAATTTTAGCCGTGACATTTTCAACTTTTACCCGGCCACGTTGTCAATTACGCTAATTAGTTTACTAATAATTAATAGCTTACATACATGCTGATGATGTATATGTAGCTGGTATTTCCACACATACACATGAGATATGCGCATCTCAATTTTCACCCACAGCAAAGAACGACGACTACGTAAATGCCCTCATATAAAGTAGTCTCATTACATTTAATTATCACATCTGTAGGCTCTACGTAGGCAAACATTGAGTTATCACAGCTTGGTTAAAATATAAACGACTTTCTTGATCTTGGATTAAATTGATTCTACATTTGTTAAAATGTTTAAAACTGATTTAAGGGCTTGTTTTTTTGACTTTTTACCAAATTCCTCTCATACAGAGTAGACCCTGAATACCCGCGGCTACATATGTTAAAATTTTACACACTAAAAAAAAAGGAAGCCATAGGAAGCAAGCATAACAAGTGTCCATGATGTTGCAACGTGCTCAGTGGCTGACAAGGTTTTTTCTTGATTTTCATTTTTATTTTTTTCATTTTAGTTTTTCGTGTTGTTGTTGATGATGATGATGATGATGATGGTGCTTGAAGCATCGATGGCCCCGGCATGTCAGTCTGTCCGTCAGTCAGCTGTGGCAATGCAACCAGACACCAGCACATGGTAAAGTGTCATTGGCAAAATTACCAGCCGTACGTTTCGAGGCGTACGTGAGGCGGTCTTGAACTCTGAAGTGTCAGAGGCCACCTCATTGGCACGCCATTAAAATGCACATTGTGTGGCCGAGGCCCAGGCCCTGGCCCGGGCGCAGGCGGCATCAAAGTTTAAGAAATAAAGTCATTAGCATTTTTCGGCTAACACCAGGAGCCCTGTACCCCTGTCTTACCAGGCTCCCACTCCTGCACGCGCCCTTAATGACTTTCCTAGTTGCAGCCACACAAAGCCCACCAAATGACTGGCCATAGAAATGTGTCAAAAGGAAAGTCTAGAGGGCTTTTTTGGGCATGAGGAACAGTATAGGAATCCTGAAGTGCAACATGCACTCGAAGGTGCTTAAGCTGCTAATAGCAGCTAGTTAGCTTGCAGCTGATGTCAGAAGCTCAGGGCAGCAGAAAAAAAAACAAAGGGCAAAATAACCGAGAATTTGATGGTCCTTTGATAACATTTGTATTTTTTTAGACCTAAATATTATAACCTTAACCCAGTAGGAAATTGACAGCCTATGGCTTTCCCCTTTTTATAATTTATTAAGGATTTCTTTCGTTAAAGTTTCCCAACCCATAGAATTCAAATTTCGTATGAAGCTAATTTCTTTAAAAACTGGGCTTCCATAATTAATTTTCCGACCTCTCCATTAGAACTCAATACATTTGTGCTGAATATGTATTACAAATTATTGAGATTTTTCACTTCTACAGCTCATTACATAAAGCTCTTAGCTTAATTCCAATTTTATTACTGTTGCCCCAACATGCAACAATTTGGCGCACAACCAAACTGTGCGCACTTATCACACACTTATTTGTCGAGGCATTTACAACAGCGAGGGGTAGGGGGAACGGTTGTGGGGTTAAGGGGTCACAGCTGGCAGGGCTAACAAACTTTGTCCTTGAGCTCGGTACAACCAGACATATGTGGCATGTGTAGTATACCCCATTTACAAGCGAGTTGTGCTGTGAACATTTATCATAAAAATCGGTGGGTATATGTTCCGGTTGGATCTAGATTCTGACTACAACAACAACAACAGCAATTGTTGGCTCATTAGAAACTCATTTAAAAACAATTTGGCACGTTAATGCAAAGTAAATCTATAAGCTTATGCAGGCAATGACAACGTGCTCAACGAGTCCCTGACTCGAACAGCGAAGTGGCATATTAAATTCTACGACAACTTTCCCTATGGCTTACATGAGGTACATAATCATATGTACTATATATATATATATATATATGTATATAGATATGACTAAGCGTACCAGCTACAAAGTGCGAGCATTTAATGCAAATGTCATTTGTTGCAAATGATGCCTCAACTTTAGTAAATTGTTATAAGAAAAAGAGAAAAGCTGTTAAGTTGTGCCCCAAATTGAATACCCTACCTTAAGGAAGTAGACCATATTAACAGCAATGCTTAGACAATTTTGCCAATCTAGCAATGTAGTTTGCTGATTTTCAAAGTTAAGGCTTAAGGGTGATATGTTCGTTCGGGCGTTTAGAATTCGAACCAAAATATTTTAAAGCGATGCATAATGTCTGTAGCAATGCAAATGCCCTCTCTTTAGGTAAGTTGAAAAGTTAACCCTCCTGCAAAAAAAAAAAATATCATTAGTATGCGTCGATGTTGGCATCGTCGACATTTGCAATTCGCTTCAAGACGTGCCATCACCTCGACCAGCCCCAGCGGCCCCTTTGCGCAAGTGCGCTTAGCAAACTGCCTGTCATAAACATGAAATTTGCACAAAACCGCCATTTTTATAAGGTGTCAACAGCAAATATCACATAACACATATCACAGGCGCGTCCATATATAGACGTTTTGGCATTTTATGTCGAGAGGAAGTGCTGCGCATATTGGCTTACCAAAAACGTTAAGTGGCCCAAAACTGAGTGTAGCTCCCCGGACCCGGATCCCACCCTGCATATCATTACAGAAGCAGCGCCGAAATATCCTGAACCAAACGGCTGTCAGGTTGGCTTCCATATCCTTCTACCTACTCCTTGTATCTTTTAATGGCTCAAGTCGTTACTGCAGCTGCTGTCAGGCACTAACTGGGCCAAAATGTAGATGTTGTTGTTGCTGTTGTTGTTGTTGGCCACAACGATTTTCCATTTTTGTTTTCCTTTTTTCTGTTTTTGTTTACACTGGCGAGTTATTAATGACAGAAGTCACCTCAGCGCCTGGCTTTCATATGCAGATGCCAGTCGAATGAAAATGGCAGTGAATCGGGCAAGGGAAATGGCATGGGTTGGAACTTCATATATGTATCTATGTACATTACAAACGACAATTGCCGCAACCAGCTTGAACGACATATTAAATTTCACAGTACACATACATTTGACAGACTGCCTGTCTACGTTTGAGTGACAATAGACCAGCATGAAATATCTTTAATTAAAATTTGTATAAAGATAAATGGGTTTTGATACCTACAATGGCTAGTTCAAAGTTTTTTATTGCACTGACATGCCCACATCCGATAAAATACTAAGCAAATTGGCACAATGGACACAAAAGAAATCGGCCTCTGCCAACCAGCAGCTTAAAATTGAGCATTGAGTTTTGTTGCAGGACCAAGGCCAAGGCAGCTTTGTGTGAGCTAACAAAGTTTTGATAGCTTTTCTATACATTTTGTGCTATTTGATTAGGTCTTTGTGCCTGCGACAAGCTAATTACATGAGCTTTTATTCAATTTCAATGGGAAAACACATGAAATTCGATTCATAACTGAAACCTAACCTAAAATTGCGCAACACCTAACCTAACTTTAGCTGCACATAACCTCTAAAAATGCATAGGCCAAGCACATTGAAGCCAAATCGTAAGCAAAGGCTTATTAAAATTGAACAGAAAACAAAACAAAGTCTTACAAAAACCATAAATACAAATAATAATAATAAAAAAAAAAATAAAAAAAAACAGAAAAAAAACCAAAAAATCTCTTATAAACTCATAAAACAAATATATATAAAAACTTTCTATTATCATGCTCTGCTCTTTTTAACTTTTGCCTTTGATTAACTTATATTTTCTCTCCTTTTGTATACTTCATTGATTTTTTGTGTTTTGTTAATTTCTATTTTATTTTGATGTAAACAAATTTTATAAAAACGCGTTTGTAGGACGAGAAAAATCAACTACTTATAACGAATCTTTGGCTTTCGTTGGTAAGTTTCAACTTAAACTGAAAAGTGATTTAAACATACAAATCTTAAATATAGCATTACGTTAAATAATTCATATGCTTTAAATACCATATCATAAATAGTACAAATAAACCTTTTGTTAGCTATGCTGAGCAGCTGTTTAAATATATACAAAAAAACTGTATATTAATTTAAGGGATAATCAATAGTTCCGTAGTTAGTCGGGCTGCTAGGCATAGCTAATGAAATGTTTTTTTTGCCTGCTTATAATTTATACACACACACGGCCATACCCTATGCTAAGAGTTGTACGAATAGCACTCAATGTTTATAAGCCCGAACTTCTTGAACTTCTTCTAAAACCAGTTTAACTATTAGGAACCTTGCGTTCCGGAAACTTTCAATTTTTGTATATTCGAAAACCCAACTCTCTTCTACCCCCAACTTTTTGTAAAGCTTCTACTATTTTCCATTAACTCTCTATAGTAACATTTCAAACTGAGCCAACTTTTTAGCTTGATTGCGTGGCTTAGTAAGTGTGTGATAAATTATTTAAACCACATGCCCTAAATACAATTGAAATTAAATATATACATTTTTAAATCAATGCGCTTTATTAAATATATCTACATTATTACACAAAAAAAAAAGAACATATTTTAAACTCTTTAACTAGCTAAAGCATAAAGCAGTTTGATTTCCTATTTTATTCTTCTACTATTTAGTTTTCGAATATATTTTTAAGTAGCTTTAAATGCTTTTCAAAAATATATTATAAACTTTGAGTTTTTAGGTTTAGCTGCTGCCAAATATAATATTAATTTATAGTTTTTAACAGATTTTCTTTTGGCATTTATTATTAAGAGCAACTAAAAACCAAACACATAAACAATGTACGGAACAAACAAACAACAAAAACTCTAAACAGCAACAACAACAAATAAACAAAACAACAAATTTGCATGAGAAAAGGAAATACAAAACTGTACAAAATTACAATGTGCTATAAGCCCACAAAATTTAACTACGTATCGCATGTCTTAAACATAGTTTTATTTTTTTTTGTATACTATGCATGTGAAGCGTGTGTGCGTGTGTGTGTGTATGTGTGTGCTATAAAATATGATATATTGCGAATTATTGAACGGAAACGCAATGGGTAAATGTTACATGATTTTTTTTTTATGAAATCCTCATGCTTATATCCGGCATAGGGCTTGTGGAAACACTCGTCAATTCCTGTCAATTTGTGAAATTAATTAAATTATTTATTTAACACATTGAAACCAGCCCCCCACTCCGCGCCCCACACATCTCAATGATTAAGCCAAGATCCGCAACATATGTGTTGTACGGTGTGCGGCCTGTAATTTGTAATTTTCGGTTTTGTCCAGGGGCAAAAAATAAAAATAAAAATCTCCCAAAATGTGATTCATGCAACGTTTTGTTGTCATTTTGGATTCGAAATATTCCACAATTGGCAATTTGATTGATGGCTTATGCGTCATTTATTGACTGACAGTTTGAAATGTCCTGAAAATGTTTGTCGATTTCCAGCAATTTTGTAATTTAAATGTTTCCATAATGAAAGGACACCCTGCAAATCTACATGACTCAAATGGATCGTTATTAAGTGCCTTTCCACTCGTTGCATGGGGCAGGCGGAGAGCGGGGAGCTGTGCAGCGACATGCGTAAATTTAGGCGACATTCGAGCCCTACAGGTTTCGAGCACTGTCACATTCAAGTACAAATGGGACATCATAAATTGTCATTCCATTCAAACCACAACTAAGCTAAGACCACGAAGCGGGGACATAATGGGAAACGATTGGAATGGCAACACAAATTGATTTCCGAATTTGTGGCATTGAGCATTGAGCAACAAAAAGAGGGCTTTCAAAAAGCTGAGACCAAAAAATGATGTGAAACAACTGAAACTGAAACATTAAAGATATTAAGCATTGACGCACACTACGAAATTGAAGACAAAAATAATCTGAGCTTCGTCAAAACATTTAAGTTGAGAACATACAAAAAAGGTGACAAATGAGTGCAATTTGAAATATATCGTATAAGGAAATTAAACTCTGTCGGTTTAGGAAAATGAAAATACTCAGGAAAAAGGTTATTATTAGTTCAAAACCGTATTGCCGTTTTAGATAAGCTCTAAATTCTATACAAAACCCGTATTGCCGTAACGTAACCAACAATAGAAATTTGAAGTGTAATATAATTACCCAAAAACAAATTGCCATTATGAAGAGCATGAAAATCTCACTCGACTATGCCACAAAATTGCGTAATGCGTGGTTCAATTTGCTACAGAGTTTGGGTATCCGGGGGAGTTGTCGGAAAAATTGGTCATATATCTGTGTGGTTAGTGTGTACCGTCATCTGTTTTTACAGCTGTCATAAAACTGCACACAATAACAGCACTAAAGTAAAAAGTTTTTAAAGCCAAGCAGACGCATACGTATACTATATATGCAAGCATATATCTACCATATATAATTTAATGCAATGTCATGGCATGTAATTAAATTTTTTTATTGGTTTTTTTTTTGTGATTTAAAAAGGGATTTGTTGCAAAGAGGCAGCAAGACAATTGCTTGCTCTAAAAATGCCACAAATGTATGTGGATGTGTGTAAATTATAAAGCACAGCAGCAACACCAACAACAACAACAAACACAACATCAGCAGCAGCAGCATAAGTGTAATAACCAAGAGGAAAACTAGAGGAAAAACTTTGCCGCTTTTATGACAAGAACCACTTGTAGGCGAGGCCACAAAGCGCAAAGTTGCGAAATGCGTGTATGTGTATGTGCATGTGGCAGCAACAGAGCAACAAGCAACAACAACAACAAACAGTCGACCGCAAAATGACACAAAGCGCTGCCAGTGAGCCTAGTCCTCTGCCAGAGCCTCCTGCTCCTGCCAGTGCTCGCCCTGGGGCAAAAGATAGTGCGACACAAGTCAGAACAGTCGTGGACGGAATGTTGCAGGATCAGGCAGTCGCGTTCACATGACAATAGCAACAAAAGTGAACTTTTCAGCACCGAAGTTTATATACCTTTGCTGACATACACATAAATAGATTCGTAAACTGCCGAATTTGACTATAAATGCTGGAAAACAAAAAAGTAGAGCACACAAGACCCTGTTTTTAGCAGATTGTACTATTACAGTTAGCCGATCCTCGACATAATTACATCCTTCAATTTGACGTTTACCGATAATAATCAAGAGATTATCCTGTTTTCAAAAAGACAAACGGACATACAAAGCTTTTTTACCACGATACTAATCAAGTATTTATTTAATTTATGGTGTTCTCTCCTTTTCTTTTCTGAGATATAAGTAGTACCATTTGCAAGGGTATAAAAATCGCAAACAAAATGTTGATAAAAATTGTCAAGTGTGTGTGCGTACGTGTGTGTTTGCGTGTGTGTATGTAGTTGTGTGTCTTGTGGCCAACTGCAAGAACTTAGCTTCAATTTTGCTGTCATGTTGTTGTAAATGTTAAGTATGTGTTTAATAACAACGAAACAGCTTTCCATAGAACTTTACAGTAATTTAACATAGCTATAACATAGCACTGTTGTACAATATGTGCCCGTTTGTTTGTGCATGTGCTCAGCATTACTTAGTTTCATTTGTTTATATGTTGTATAGAGCCTATACTTAGTTTCTGTGTGTCTCTTGTCTCACTTTCTTATCACATCACGTCGCTTTATTATTTACCTTTCTGTTCTTTTCAATAGTCTATAACTAACAGCAATTATTTTACAGTTACTAAAATTTGTTATATATATGCAATATAGGAATGGAACGATTATAATTTGCGCTGGAATGAAACGGAATATGGCGGCGTCAAGGATTTGCGAATTACGCCCAATAAACTGTGGAAGCCCGATGTGCTCATGTACAATAGGTAAGTGCCCCCAAGTGTCCAGTTTGTGGCCCATGCACATGGGTCAATGCCCACAACTAGCTAATGCAATAACGCCCAATAAACCAATAAACGACAAGAAATCAAAATTATTGACATTGCGCTACTTAGTGATAAAACTGTGAAAGCAGTCAAACTTTTCGACTGTTCTTAAGGTATTACATATAAAATACCAAGCCCCAACCAAGCACATATATATTTTACCATATTAAAGACTCAATGGTAAGTGTGTATAACGATCTTATAGCCACAATAACTATGCCAGATGATGGTTATAAATTATAAATCTTATGATAGTCGATTGAATATTTTGGTTTTAGCGTTACAGTTTCCTGATTTAAGTTATATAATAACCATTAAATATTCTTGTAGCTGGTTTGTGCACATTAGTTATTAAAACGGAATGTTTGTTATTGGCTTATTTTTATGGTAGACTAAAGATTATGTATTGTTCAGCTATAGACTCCTTGAGAATTTTTTATTCTGTTGGTTCTTCCCAAAAAGGAGCGATGGAATTTTGAAATATTATAATCGTTATCATAAATATCAGCAAAAAAAAAACAAGAGCTAGATGTATAATTATATGACATGGAGATCAAAATTTGAACAATCAATTTTAGATGCATTTCATCTTTGGACAACGAATAATATACTTTTTAATGCCACACATTTAAAACAGTGTGACCAATTGCACTTAAAAACGTTGGCAGCTATTTTATAATTAAATGAGAGTTAAATTACAATAACATATATTGGTTTTGGTCTTCAAAATACGGTTGCAATGCTTGCCAACTCTTAAAGCTGCAATTTAAATTTAAATTAAGCTGCGCTTCGTTCATCGTAAACAGATTGCAAACTTTATTATTTTTGGAATCGATGAAAAAATAGCATTTTCCTGCATAAACAAAATGTTGAAATCGATATATTAAAACTGAAATAAATTTCCATTGCTCCTGCAAATCAAATCGTCCAATATTTAATGCTGTGTGTTCGTCTTTTTTTTTTAATTATAGCTGAATATTTATTCTCGTTTAGTTTTCATTTTAGTTTGCCAAAGCGCAAACCTACTTTATAAAAAATAGACATACATATAATATATAATCTGTATACCTGACCTATTATAAACGTATCATAATCCACTCGCTATTGTTTGTGTGTGTGTCCCTATTATAAAACGCAAAGCCGAAACCTTAACATAATCGACTATATTTTTGTTTTAGTTATATGTATTTGTGTTTCAATGTTAACCCAAAATTTTGATTTGCTTTTAATGTTTATGTGAGCAAACGACTAAAATTAAAAAAAAAAAAAAAAAAAAAACTATATTTTTAAACCAAAACATGAAAATGTTGTTTACTTCAAATAAGAGTAGTTTACACGCAGTGGTGTTCTAGTGGGAGTGTACATTGTCAGCTTGCCGTTGATGTGGGCCTCACATTGTAATTGGATTCGTAATGCTAACCGAACGTACATATATAATCTGTAACATCTAATTATAAATAAACAATAACAATAAAAAACTTTAATCGAAAAAAGTGAGAAACTAAATAAAACTCAGACTAAACTCCATGAACTTTAAACACATTGTTTAACCAGAATATTATGCAAGTAGTTTGTTCGAAACAATCGAAAATTCCTAATTCTCATACCTCAACAGATCCGCATATAATCTCATGTGATCTGTTCCATATGTAGCTTATGCATACGTAGTATATTGTTTACTCTCAGTACTTAGTTTCGAAACGGAAAAAAAAGTAATAGACAATAACCAACATAAGAAATTGTTCAACAATATGCTGGTGTAATATATCTGGTTAGACGTTCAGTACTTGAATTTATTTGGCCAAATCCTAAAAAAAAAAACGATTAATAAAGCAAAAAAAGAGGAAACAAGACAATAAAATGTTTTTTGTTATACTCGTATTTGTTGTAGCTTGCAAAAAACACAAACTCAAAGGCAAAATAGATTTTCAAGTATTGTGCATGAGAAATCAAATCCCTCGTACTAAACAAACTAAATAAAAACGCATATATAAATAATACCAATGAAAAAAAAAGTACCAAAAACCTAAAATCCCGCCATACCAAGTTAAAAAACAAGTGCCCAAACAAAATTTGGACTTTGTTGGCACTTCTAATAAATACATTTCCAAACATAAACGCTAACCCACATCCCACACACCAAGCCACACACAACAACACACATTAGACAACATATTTTAATAAATACACTACTTATACTAACCAAATTATATAAAAAATACTTAAACTGCTCTCATACATATTTAAGTCGGTAAACGCTTTAGTTAGAATTAAATTAAGCGCAGCTACTTAAAATCATTTTCATTTTTAAAGCTGCTCAAAACGAAAGTGAAACATGGCACTTCACAGCCGCATTAAATGCGGCGTCTAAAACATCTCAAACAGAAATCTTATATTAACAAAAGGAGACATAACTAAAAACCAGTTGCTCGGCTAGCCGATGCTGAGGTGAGCTATATCTTTCGAGAATAGAACCCGACGATAATTTTTACGGGGTCTAAGGCGCAGATGCCAATTGAAATTGTTCTCCCAGATTCACAACCGGTAATCGAGCTTGTAAATCGAACTTTTACTTCTTGAAAGTTATATTTAAATGAAATATTATAAGGTGAAATCTATTTTATGCCTCTTCCCAACATTTATTAGAGTACAAAGTCTCTCTTAATAAAATACGCTATTCGAAGACTTACTCTAACGTCTTTTTTCAAGGCGAAAACCTTGCAAACTGCAAATCGAAAAACTGAGTAAAAACGTGCTCAATTATTCTCCTGCACAGACTTAGACTCTTTCGTGCCAAATAGTTAGCACATTCTGCTTTTTCGCTTATTTCTTTCGTGCCCAACTTTTTATTTCTGTGGAACAGCTCATCAATGAATTATACGCTAAATGCTATTCGAATCACGCTCCAAATGCAGACAAACTTTTGCCTAATTCACGTATCAATCACTCAACAATAAGTACAAATTTTTGCGCAAAACTTTATTTCCATTTGCTTTCACTTAGTCCATGTGCCAGACATACAAACATGCCCTACTACTATTAAAAGCCCAGCTATAACTAACTGTGTTTTATATCTATGTGTATGTATGTGTCTACTGTATGTATGTATCTGTGTGTCTAGTTGATAAAGTTGAAAAAAAAACACTAATTACGCCCTGCCCACATGCAACAACATGTAACATAAGCTCATCGTGACAAGCAGCAGTCAAGTGTGTTCGACTAGCACATACCCTGTAATTGGTTCAGTTGTCTTCTAAGGTGCATTCTTACAAAATTTCATTAGTTAATAAATTAAAATGATATTTAAGAAACATCATAATATATAAAATTTGCATAATACTCTAGGCTCTTATATATAAACAAATGGAATATTGTTTTTTCCTAAATAAAATACCAAATATGCATACAAAAGTTTATGAGAGCTTACTTTCAAGCTGCCTTTTTCCATAATTTACAGGGAATAACTGCAACCACAAGTACTTGATGTGAGTGCTTTTTTCGCGTTTTTCTGCATTTCTGATTATTGACTAAACGCAAGTGAAATGCCCACACAATAATTACAATTCCATATCATTTTCATTCAACTTATTGCATCGGCGTTTTGCTATTAATGTAAGAGTTTATGTGTGTATGTGTGTGTGTGCGTGTGTGCGAGTGTGTTTACCTATTAACCAAGTAATCAATTGTTATCATTGTTGATATACGTGTTGTACGTTCTAGCTGTGTTTCACTGTGTCTATATAAATATTTTCATACTTCACATTTTAGTGGATTGCCAGTTATAACTAATCCATCAATAACCACACAAATAATATCCATATATGTATATTATGTATAGCCGTTAACTCAGACATTGTTATACCCAATCTAAAATCTACATGTATATGTGTGTCGCCAAATAATCGTACGTCTCTATACATTTGCGTCAAACAGACAACAACTATTTACTACAATCGGTTTAATTTGAATTGACAACATGGCTGAAATCAAATCGAACCATTTGTCGATTCATTAGGTTACTCTAAGTTACTTTAAGTTTTGTTGTAAGCTCGGCTTAGTTGCATGTCAGCTTAGTTTAAATTTACAGTTACAAATAAACATGCTACACATACACAACAGGAAGTTTACGAGTGTATGTTTACGTGTTGAGCTGTAGGAGTATCTCAGTAACAAATCTGTGGGCTGTATGCTAGGGTTTCGAGCTTTAATATTTGTGTTCGAGAATCTTAAATTTAATTAGAATATCTGCTTAAGATTATTATAATAATATCTAAAAACTCACATCCAACTATTTCATATATACAAATATATTTGTCTCTATCTCGATACATTGTGCTCTTTTTCTCTCGTTTTCTCTTTCGAGAGCAATTAATTAACAATATTTCTCTTTGCGCATTATTCTCAAATTATTAACTGCAAATAAACAATTTTGATCAAATATTATACTCAATTTATATACAAAGTATATTTGAACGCTATTTACAACCTCGAACTATTCAATTTTCTTCGATTCTGGTTTGTGCGTCATTCGTAAACGTTTTAATAAAATAAAATGTATTCCTTCAAAAAATTTGTTTTCCCTTTATATAAAGTATATTCCAAAGGCGATTCATCGATTGCACTTTGTGAGCATTCTGAAACGTCGTAAGTAGCTTTGGCATAAAAACTGCAGCATTTTTTCGAATATTTTACAAAGTATTTTCCACAATTTATTTCATTAACTTTTGCGCAGTGTCAGCAAAAGAAAGCATTGCATACTTTTGAGCTTCGTGGCAAAAAGCTTTTATGCCACATTATTTAACCAGCCAGATGAACTGAAACATTTTAAGCCATTACTTAAATGTCAGAGCCAGCAAAAAATGTAACCAACTGCAATGGCTGAAAACTACTTAAATGTCGCAAATCCCCTTGGTGCCGGTACAGATCTAAAAAGCGCGTAAAGCTGAGCGGGCGTAGGGGACACACAAATGAGGATAAATATAGCAGCTGCACAAATTGTGGCTAAAGTGCAGCTGGCGTAGTGTCAAATTTTTGTCCTAAGCTAATTACACTGCATTGGATTCCCTTTTGCACACCTGATTGATGTCAGGATTTAACAACGTTTTAGATGCCAGTCAAGAACAAAAGGCTTAAAAGCCAAACGTGGGCATGATATTATCGGCCCATACAATGTGCAGGCACACGTAGTGCTGGCTTTAATTTCCCTGGCACGCAGCATCCGGTGTTGATTACGGTCCGGCTATAGACCACGCGAGCTGCTTGACAATGCCGCAAGGCCTACGCAAGTTCCGGACAGCATCTATTGAAAAGGCCAAGATACCATATCGATTCGCCCTGTAGCCGCATTCCAACCAAGGTAAATCACTGTATAGAGCCATGGACTAGGACCAGAACATTGGGCGTGGTTGTACACGCACCAAGCATCCACTCGCAACAACCTACTGACTGTCAACTTTATTTACTAATGAACTTGCACAGGGCGACGTCAGCGTTGGGGCATTTCCATGAAACAATTTCACGCCCATTTCGCCAAAAATAATAGCAATGCTCATTAAGAGCTCAACAATATTTCAAAGAAGCCTATAAGAAGCTTATCTCAGCGAATTCAAAAGCTGCACACGTTTGGGCGTTTCGTGTGTCGTAAACATTTTTGGGAACACATTGCGATTGACTTTCATTTGGTTTAATTTATTAATTCAGCTTTCTTTTCGACTTGGCCATGGCCAGAAGGAGAGCTGGCCCAGCCTAATTTGTATGCGTCGGCAGCGCTGCTAATGTGCGGCCATCATTTAGATCAATAGCACGACGAACAAGGCTTATAGATACAGATACAGTTACAGTTAAAGATACAAATACATTGGCAGATATACACACACATTTACTGAATACGTATATATACGTATATATGTATATATGGCCTTGTGGGTTTTTATTTCCAATTTTTTTTTTTTTTTTTTTTTGGTTCGTTGGAGCCCATCAACGCCTTCTGCAAATCAATCTGACCAGCTTGGAATTTTCGTAATTTTATTTATGCTGATTTCAATGTGCGTTGTGCGAATCTCAATCTGAAAGATGTTTAATTGGGATACTTTTTACACAGGCTGGACTTTAAGCCCAAGGCAGAAGAAAAGAAGAGACTGCTGAAGCTTAAATACGCTTCGATTAATTTTGGCTAATAATTTTATCGATTGACATGTGTTTAAATCTTTCTTATTACCAAAAGAGTAAGCCACGTCTGTGATTTATGTTGCAAAAATGAGATAAGAATAGACATTATCAAATAATAATAGTGTGAAATACGAATCATACGAATCAGTTAAACTTGGAAGCCTTATGAATTCAAATCTATATGATAAGTATTCTGCTATAACTTAATCCAGCTCGATTTGAACCACTTCTCACTTTGTGGCATCAAATGGGCAACGCTCAATATGTAGCACACTTTATGGGAAATTCAAATTACCCTTTGTGTTAGGTCATAAGAACGCAAATTCTTAGCGAAAAGCTTTCACATTAATTGCAATGTTATCTGGTAAATGCCGTAAACAGATTACAAAGCATGTGCAAGTTTCTAAGTAAAAACAGAGAAATGCGGCCTTCGCGCCCAAATGAAATTGACAGCGGTTGTGGCTTAGCCAACTGAGGCGTAGACCATTTCTCTCCCTCTTTCTCTGTCGGTTTCCTGCCCCCGGCTTGGTCAAAACCAACATCAATTTTAATAATGCCCTGGCAATGATTTTATTTATTTGTTTCAGCTTGGCCAAGGCCATGGCTAATACAAAAGACTTCCAAATCTTTCACTTTCAAATTATAAAAGCTGCTTCGCAATTTAAATGTAAAAAATGGTTCTCAGAAATAAATACGGGTTTGATAAAGGTTTAGCATAACCTGATAACTCAATTGAAAGTCTTATAAAAACGCAGTTTTTGCTCGTTTGATGAATTAATTGAAAATTGATATGTCAGTAATCAAAGAGAAAAATATTGGCATATATGAGCTTTAGATTTAAAAACAAACAAACAAACAAGAGTTTAAAAAAGTTTATAAATTATATTTTTGAAGGTAGTTTCCATAACTTATTTAAAACTTTACTTATTTTTATGCTTTTTGGTAGTTTGTCTCAGATCTTGATTAGTATTGCATAATTATTAAAAAAAGGGAGGATAGGATAACTAAGGTAGATATGTGAGTATAGTGAAGCTCGTAAATGAGATGAAAATATCTTCGAAAACAGAATATTTGAGCATATAAGTACATATTTCTAACCGTTCGATTTTATGACTGATTTATGAAATAGTGGTCCGATGTCGATAAGATTGAGAATCCAGCGGAACTAATAATTCCCAACTTTGATCGAGTTATTTTGAATATCAAAAAGTTGTACATACTAGTACTTTATTTTTGAATGATCGTGCCTATGGAAGCTATATTATCATATAGTAGTCCTATAAGGCCATTTTCAGCATACGTACTGCCTGCAATAAAAAGACAGACATACGCAAAATTTCAAGACCTTCACTTTAAAACTTAGAAAATAGCTATCTATGTAGTTGGATTTTTATGAATAAAAATATAATACCCTCTATAATGGTATAAAAATTCCAATAGTTTGGACTTGTCAAATTTCCAAATCCTTTAAAATCTCCAGTTAAGTTGATATATATAAATAAATATTTAATGTAATCTATATTGCATATTCTATTCGTAGACTTTTAGCAACCATCATTTTCGCAAAGCCTAATCAATTTTAATATTGGATAACATTTTGGTCATGGCTTAACCAGATTGACTTGATATTGACATGTGTAAACTTTCTAAATTTGTCGTATTGTTATATTTTCCTCTGCTTTTTCGAAGCTCCTTTGAGCTTGTTGATAATATTTTTGACTTGTGAACATCAGGTAACAATTTGACGAATGCCACAAATGTTGTTGCCTCAATTAGTCAAATTGTTGCAGTTGTTGGCTGTTGGCTTATTCGCACGCCTCCTTACGCACAGGCCACAAACTCTCAAGCCTCGCTGCGCTGCAGCTGTGGCAATGTGCCTTGCACAATGTTAACAGCAGCCGCTAATCGGGGCACAAATTCCACTTAAATGCCACAACAATAGCATGTAAGCTTCCAGCTGACCACGCCCATACGCCCATAGACACAGGTGTTGTGCGGCGCTAATTAAATGCGCACTTTAACCGCAAATCGCAATCCAGCCATGATTGAAGGTGTGTGGGTGTGGAAGTATGTGTGTAGGTCTCATCCTAACATGCACAGGCATACACTCACACACACACACACACCCACACATACAGATTGCGTACAAGTCACGTTGACCGCAAAAAGTACACCAAATGACAGCAAACAGCTCGTAACTCAAAATATCTATGCAAATTGCGCAACAGTTTTTCGACCGCCTCTTGATACCACCAAAACCCCCAAAAAGCCCACCCGAAAAAATAAAAGTAATTGCATTTTATTGCCATGCAAGGAACGGAAATACTCATATATCTTTTTATATATAGTATATATATGGGGTAGGCCACTTGAGTCTGGCTTTGACTTCAACACAATTGCATATTGTATGCTCCTGATTTGCATATGCACACACAGATACGGCATGTAGTTAGATACAGTTATTGTATCTAACAGATTTTATTTGCTTAGCCAAAATGTGCTGACAATGGAAATGCCATTTGGCACACAATATAAATGGAAAATATGAAAACAAATTGTGTACATCTATGTACTAGCAGATATAAAGCGCTGTTGCCTCGCCCCAACTATTTTTGAATAAATTTAAATGTTATTGCATAAATTATCCAAACTGAAAGATAATCGTTTTCAATTTCTTGCCTCGCAAATCACAATCTCTTAAAGAAGCAAGTTCTGCATCATGTTGTTGTATAGTTTGTAAATATGTATTTATAAATACCTTAGGTTGTTTTTAGATAATTAACCGATCCTGAAAAGAGAGACAAAATCCAAAAATTTAAGTATTATATATTTATATATATGTGCTCCTTAGCTTATTAAGCCCAAAATAGAAAATATTATAAGTAGTACATATATTATAAATAGCATAAAACTAAACACTACAACACCCACTAAAAACATTAACCTAGCATAGAAAATCCCAAGCTGTCCTATTCTACACTTAACCAACACACAATTCTCCTAGTTCCCAAAGCTCTATTAAGGCCATATCCAAATACCTTTTTTTTATATATATAAACTAGCTAAAAGAAAAAAAAAGAATGCGCATTTGAAATAAAACAAAAAAAAATAATAAATAATAAATGGAAGAAAAAAACATAACAAAAAATAATAACACATAAATAAATAGAACCAAAAACAATACCAATAAAATAAAAGAATAGACCAACAAAAAGAAAAAAAAAAAGAAGCAACAGCAAAATCATAATAATACATAAACAATATTGTACAATAATTTAGCGCGGATGAGGGATTCGATGGCACGTATCACACCAACATTGTGGTCAAACATAACGGCAGTTGTCTGTACGTGCCCCCTGGTATCTTCAAGAGCACATGCAAGATAGACATCACGTGGTTCCCATTTGATGACCAACATTGCGAAATGAAATTCGGTAGTTGGACTTACGATGGAAATCAGGTAAAGTGTTTAGTACACAGTTACAGTACAGTACAGTACAGTACAGTATACACCAAGAGAGCTAAGCCGTACTTGGTACAGTAAACTCTTTGTGCAGTGCAGCAAAACATCACACATTCACATGACGTCACAATCACGCTTTTTGCTAACACACAAACACGCACACACATACACTGAAAAACTAACTAAGACACGCACAAGAGACACGTGCACGTGCACAAGCAGAAAGTCGGTTATACCATTTAGGCAGAATTAGAGGGAATTGACCTTTTAGGTTAGTTCAGGACACTGAGGCTCGACGTTATTAATGGAAAACCCCTAGAGTCATTTGGCGCTCCCTGCTTTCGTTTATGCTTTTCCAAACTCTATATCTCTATCTCAAGCTATCTTCCAGTTTATTTTATATATCAGTATCTTTCTCTCTCTCGCTGTATATCTCTCTCTCTCTCTGTCTTATCCCTCACGTCGAACAGTTCTTTGCGTTTTTGCGAATTACAAAACCAAAAAGTTAAATGTGCTCAAAGCACGCCAAATACGTTCCAGCGTGTTGGCTAAAATGTTCAATCAGGCATTGAACATTTTAGGTCAACACTTCAAAAAGAAACTGAAAAAACCAAACAGATTATGCACTTTGTGTGCTGCCAGTTGTACAAGCAGTTAGTTGTTAGCGTTTACCAACACTGGCACGAGACACAATAGTGCTGCGTAGAAATGGAATCATGTGTGAGACCCTTGAAATTTTTCGTCCCATGTGGCAACAGCTGAAAAATTTCAGTTTCAACTATTTTGCATGTTAGCAGACCAAAACCACGCCCAAAAAAAATACTAAATCGAACTATTTTGGACGTACGTAAAGACTCTTAATGGAAGTCAAACAAATGTAAGGTTTTCAGTACAATTTAATTTTATTTCCACGTTTCTTTGCACTAAAAACGCAATAGTATATATAAGTATATAATTAAAAAAAAAAAAACAATGTAAAGCTCTGTTTTGCTCTCTATATCTCTCGCTCGTACACCTTGAACACATGCTCTGTTATGTACATAAATGTTGTTTCAACGTGGCTTTAAGTAAATTCTCAAACATATTACTAAATCAAACTAAAAATGTTAAATTTCTTTTTCTCCAAACAATGAAAAAAAAAAACCAAAAAACTCAAAACAATACCCAACCTAACATTAAAAAAAAATAAAATGAAAATTCGTTTGTCTACATAAATGTCAAACTAATTTTTTGAAAAAAAAAAATCGTTGAAATATATCAGTTGGATTTGGTTTTGAATTCCGAAGATGGAGGGGATCTTTCCGATTTCATAACAAATGGCGAGTGGTACTTGCTTGGTTAGTAAAAATCATCATAAACCTAATGCTTATTCCACTGTTTTCTTAACGTTGTCATGTGTAAATGTCTAACGCAATCATTAACCTTAAACCTAATCAATTACTTATAATCATATTATTTTTTTTTTTATAATTTTGTATATATGCATATATATTAATGTGAAGTAGAAACTTTTGGCCTGGCGCTTTATCAAAATTGCTTCATAGAACATTTTCATTTGCTGCCGCTTTAATTAACAATTTCATTTTGTATATAGATATATAGACTTAAAAAAAATGCAAATTGCAAATATTTGTACATATGTGTGTATTTGTGTGTCTCAATGTCGCATTCAAATTGTTTGATTCGAATTGTACTAATCGTGAGTTTTATCGTTCAGCCATGCCCGGAAAGAAGAATACTATAGTCTACCAGTGCTGCCCAGAACCATATGTCGATATCACCTTTACTATACAAATACGCCGACGTACTTTATATTATTTTTTCAATTTAATTGTGCCATGCGTGCTAATATCATCGATGGCCCTGCTGGGCTTTACATTGCCCCCGGATTCGGGCGAGAAACTGACGCTGGGTAAGTATGCAAATTGCACCAAAACGAAAACGAAAATGAAAATGAAATTGAAAACTTTACAACACTGATTGCCCCCAATGACCAGATATATGATATCTATATAAAACAAATTTTGCAAGTTTTTTCAGCGTGTAATAAATGTACTACAAATACGATATCGTATACAAAGTTAGGCTATATATATATATGTATTTATATATAATTTTGGTCAGGTAAAGCAGCGGTAGCGAAATGAGGCTTAGCTGGATTTAACCATATTTAACTACCCATTAAAAGCTCGTAAACTAAAACCCCAAGTATATTATGAACGCTGCTTTAAAAGCTAGTCTAGACTTAACAAATGCATGTTTTATTTTTCCAGTATTTCTAAAATGCAGTAAATTGAAATAAATTAAACCACGGAGTGTTGCCCTTCGCCCCACTGCTTTGATCTTAAATATTATTATAATATAGTTATTACAAGAGGCAGCACTCTGAACATGCTAATAAAAAGTTGTAGATCTACAACAAAAGTTGTCAACTTCCTTAAAAGAAACGAACTATTTAAAAAATTCATCCAAACAAACCAAAAAACAAAACTTTAAATCTAACCTAAACGAGTAAACGCAAAATTTATTGCAAATATATAAATATTTTGAATAATATTTCTTACTTTTTATCTTTGATATTTTCAGTCATTTAGTTTATTATTTCAAATTGTTTTTTTGATATACGTATTTATTGTATCTCTTGTTCCAGGCGTAACTATACTACTATCATTAACAGTATTTCTAAACCTTGTTGCTGAGTCAATGCCGACAACGTCGGATGCTGTTCCTCTTATAGGTACACACACATTTTATTTATTTAACAATTATTTAAAAAAGTCCCGAAGAAAACACAAAAAAGCTTCCATAACACTTATCAGACAGATGAGTGCTGTGTCCTAATGCTGTTTTTAGTTGTCATTAGTTTTACTACAGTAGTGCAATGAAAACAAAACGAAAACCAGAAAACAAAACAAAAAAAAAACAAATCAGAAACAAGAAAAAATACCAATTATTTAGATCTTAAATTTACACCAACACGCCCAAACACACTCACACACACAACACACTGAATCGTATGGCGAATGATATCTGCTATATGTTAGATATATCCTAATTCTGTACGTTTGTTTGCAAATAGATATTACTCTCAACTTCTGGACTTGTAACTGTGTGCCACATAACAAATATTTCAGTTTCAGGCCAGCTAAAACTTCTCTTTCCGCCGGAACTTTTGGATAGACCTTTGCAATAGCCTGAATATCAAAACTAAACACAAGCAGCACACCTACCAAAAAAAAAAAAAACACCTCCAAAATAAAAAAAAAACTACCTACACCGAACTGTCTGTCTAACAATCTATCTATTCTCTGTCTAACAATGTAAAGTACCTAAAAAGTGCAGCTGCAGCAAGTTTTCTTCATCTTCTTCTTACTTTTATGCTAGATGACAAATTACAAATTATATTTACTACTCTTAACTCGTACTTTGATCTACTCCTAACTTTTTATTCTTATCACAATCCTTTGCTCAGCTGATCTCTAAGTAGTCTAGAAACATAATCGCGCGACAAAAGCTCTGACATAATTGGTATTTGACAACACTGAACACAACACAACACGTTCCCAACACTATTCACAATATCATGAAACATGAATCACGAATCACTAAGCAACTAAGCCTTTAAACCTGAACCAGACACGTATCATATAATTTCATATTCGAATCGCAACGAAAAGTTTTATGTTTTTCCATTTCCATTTGCTGTTTGAAAAACAAAATGCGTATGTTAATCCCGTTACCCACTTAGTTTTATCAGTTTTTGATGTTTCTGTCGGTTCGTTTGTTTTCTCTACGTGTTTGCCGCTAGCTGATATTTGTTTTTCGTGTACAATATCATTTTGTTACATTTTTAGTTTACTTCTGTGTTTCTTAGCCTGTTAAAAAATTGTTAAAAAAAAAAAAAAGCAAACTAAAAACCATAATTTAATAAACCAAAGCCAATACGTTCATCATGTAAATAAGCTTCTCTTTATGAGTAGTGTATCATATAAAACTTCACATTAGGCGGGTCGCATTTAATTGCCTGAACAATCAAATCATCAACTAACTATTAATAATAGCAACCTTTAAACGTAGAACAAACGCAATTAATAAATACTAGCGAGATATATACTCAAAAAAAATAGTTGAATTGCAAATAGACAAACTATGAAAAATCCAACGAACAACCTTTTTTCGCTACCAAATATTCAACCAACCAACAAAACGGCCATCAACTGCGCCAACAAAACAGTCAGATAAAAACAAAAATAAACAACAACCGAAAAAGAAGCAATTGTGCATATTTCAATTTGATTTTAAATAAGTCTACAGCTCAGGTCATGGGAATAGAACACTTGTTCAGCAATCAAAAGGTGCTTTAAAAGACAGTTCAAGTAAAAGAGAATTTTTTTAAATCTAAAGAATGATGTTATAGAATAAACTAAAATTTATTTAATTTATTTATATATTTTGAAATCTTAAAAAATTCATTTAAATTCCAAGTAAGATTCTTTCATGATATTATATTTAAGTTAGGCAAAGGGAATTGTAGAGCAAGTGTTCTTATTTTCATGACCTGCACTGTGACAGTCAATACAAAAAGTAATTGGAAAATAGAACAAACAAAAACTAAATAACACATAGCCCAGTTAATTTAACGCAGTCCAGTTAGCCTGACAATAAAGAAAGACATAGACTTATATATACATATATATTTATGATTTTGTATGCATCAAACAACAACAAGAACAACCACAACGCATATCAATTGTTAAAACACCAACACGCAATATAAATATATATATTGGTAAAGGTTTGTATTGGAGAAGGCATCACATACATATGAAAAAGGCAAAACGTAGCCAATTGTCATTTTGATACTTGGTAAAGTAGAGAGGAAAAAATAACAAGAACTTTAGGCAAACAAAATATCAAAACATTTACACATATATATTTTCGAACAACATAAACAATATATGTATATAAATTAGACTAAGCGAAATACAAACATTTGTATGCTTTGTAGAATTTTTTGGTAGGTATACGAGTATTATTTATTGGACTTTTTAAATACTCTTTTAGCTGTAAGCAGGCAATAGACAAATTGCCTAACAAACATTACTGTAAATAAAATATACACAGACAGACACACACACACACACACACATACACACCGACGTAAGTACAAGCACACACAAGAACCACAACAAACGAGCAGAACTCTCAACGCAAGAAAACGACAATGAAAAACTGAAAAGCGCATGCCACAAGCCAGGCTAAGAGCCCAAAAAAATAAAAACAAAAGCGTAGCTCAAACGAGTCTTAGCCAAAAACCAAAAGACACTTGCCCACTCATTTACTCTCTCACTCTCTCTTACTTACTCTCTCACTCTCTCTTACTATCTCTCTCTCTCTCTCTGTCTCGCAACCTGTCTCGTTTTGGCAAGAACTCTTTGTACTTGCACAATAACTATAAAAACAAAAACACAAAACACTCACCGAAAAATATAAAGAAGAACAACCACACCATTAAATTTATTTGCTCAAATATTTAAACAAAATATATATATATGCTTCATATATATATTTGCTCTAAAAAATCTCCACATTTATTCACCTGTAAATTCCCGTCTTATAAATAGTTACTCGCCACCCGCTAAACGAACCCAACTAAACTGAAACTTAAAAAAAGACAAAACTCAAAGCGCAACATTTGAACTTGCATTTATGCAGATCCATTTGACCAGATGGTAGACTTGCAACTCCACATAATATCGTATCGCTCATCATGCGTTCCATATTATGTCATATATTAAACAAATATATGTTAATATCTATATCTATATATTTAACCCTTAGACACTTCCAACCAAATGCCCAGCGTTGAGGGGCCAAAACCAAAATAATTTGCATGCAGTGCGCAAATTTTTTTCCCCAAGTATTGCCCATTGGTCCGACATTTAACCGGGGCTGCACGTCCCAAATTAAATGAGACGCACGCTGCGTGCTCTGTGGGCGTGGCAAATTGGTGACACGTAGCGCTCCAAACTCATTGCCAAGACAAGGCATAGTTCGAGTCGAGCGCAAGCTTCAGTTCAATTTACAAATTCTCCTCATTTAAGTAACGGCAAAAACTTGCCACTTGCCACTAACTTTTCAACCCCATCTCCTTCCTTCCTCCTCCCCTCTAAGCGCAAAGTAATGGGTAAAAGTTGGAAGGATGTGCACCTTATACCACCATTAAGCTTTTGAAAAGTTGAGCAAACTACCAAAAAAAAATATATAGCATAAAATAAAATAACGAAAAAAAAGAGCAAAATGAAAAAATTCTTTTACGCAGAGTGTTGTGAAAATTTGTGTTAAAATGTTTAGTACTTGTGTCAGTGTGCACAAGTTGATGACACCTTCAACCCATAGCCTAAGGAGGGCTAGAAAGTTGTGAAGCTGAAATTTAACCATATAAATATAATTGAAGGTTTTTATTATGGAAAGAAATAAGCTTTCGATAAGAAAAGATACATTTTTGTGGTTACCCTTCACTTTCTTTTTCTAAAATATAATCTGATCGAGAAGGAAGAGTTTTATGCATCACTTTTTTATACTTCCGCAATACTTTTATTGGAAAATGATGCGAACTGTAATATGACAGGATCTTCATTCTTATTATGTCTCATCTATAAATATAGACTATGCACTAAGAAATGAAACTTATTGATAACATGATAAGTAGTGTTCCACGTTCCAGCCGGTTCCAGCTTAAGATCTATCTACGATCAACTATACCAAACGGGTAATGGTCTCTCATATTTTTACAGCCTTTTTGGCAGTTTATTAAGGAACACACGAATGGGGGCAAATAAAATAGGGGCTGTATATATGCCAAATCTGCTCATAAATACTAAGGACAGAGCGTAAAGCTTTAAAAGACCAATATTCCGAGACTCAAGAGAGTAGAAATATATAAATATTTTTTAAGTATTCCGCAATATGCCACATATAAACTTCGCTTTAGTTTATTTTTTTCTCAAATTTTCACACCATGACTTGCTAGTTAATCAACTTTGATGAAGCTTAAGCCAACTGTTTGGTATTATTTATGAATTGTGTGTACATATACTTATAAACCCCAGACAAATGATTCCTCACTTTACGAACGCTTGAGTTGTGACCCAGATCCAAGGACCTCTGACCCGCCCTCCACGATTTTGAGTTTCAAAGCATATACGCATCAGCACACTTCATTGAGAATTAAATTGAAATCAGAGTAACTACTAAAAGTACATACTAAAACGCAAAAAATTTGGTCAGCCATGAAAAAATACTACAAAAATACCGAGCGCAACAAGAACAAAAAAAACTTAACAAACGGCTGAACGGAAAACGAATCTCTAACGCTATGTCAACAAATGAACACAATTAAAAAAAACTACAATCAGAACAACTTCAACACCAACAACACCAACAACAACAACTAGGACAACAACATACTTGTGAAAATGCCCTTGAATATGTCTGTTTTTTAAGTTTCATTTACGTCACAACAAACTACACACATACGTTTTCTAATTTATAATTTCGTGTCTCATTATTTCAATTGTATTTTATCAAACGAAATTCTTTTGTTTCAGGAGTTACAATTCTTCTATCGCTCACAGTGTTTCTCAACCTTGTAGCTGAGACATTGCCCCAAGTATCTGATGCAATCCCCTTGTTAGGTAGCGATTGCATTTAAAAAAAATTCATAAAAAATGCAAATATATATTCAAATTTGTCAAACAAAAAAACAAAACAAAAATTAATTAACAAATTACTTAATATGATTTATATATACGTACATATACTATATATATATCTATATATATTCATAAATATTATTGTTATTGTTGTTATATATATATATATCTATTATGATTCTACTCACACACATTGCTAAATTGTTCGCATATGTAATCCTTAATTAAAAACCAAAAACAAAAAAAAAAAAAAACAAATCTTAACTTAAATAAAATTTTAGTCTAACAAAAAACCAAAACCAAAAGTCAACAAAGAGTGCCAAAAGTTGTTAAATGTTATTTGTGTACTTCGTACTATGTTTACTAATTACAACTATGTTTACTAATTAACTAAACTAAACCAACTCAACTAACTATCTCTCTGTCTATCTTGTTCTAAAAATTGAACTTTAAATATTCTATATATATATGATAATGACGTCGTTTCTTAGTTGATCATATTATTATGTTGCTATCTCTCTTTTACGAAACACTCCGTCTCTCTCTCTCTCTCTCGCTCTTCAATATTTTTCGTTCGCTTTTTTAAAAATATTTAAAAAAAAAAAAAAGAATGTCAAAAGTTTTCGGTACACACGCCAAAGCAAAGTGCTACAGCATTGTCTTCCTCAGATATACCAAAAGTAAAGTTAATAAAAACCCCAGCAAATCCTTAAAGTGAGCAACGTCAACCCGAACAAGAAATCTTTTAAATGCTATCGTTATCTACTTAACAACACTTCTGATCTATAAACTCCTAACTGAACTTTCTCTTTAACTTCTTAACTTGCCATTGGCACGTGGCTTACATACTACTATACAATATACTCTTCTATATAGTAACTGTTACTCCAGCACATATGAATGATCGAAAAGCTACGCCAATGTTTTTAATTCACTTCAATATTTTCCAATGTTCCTGAATCAAATCTTGGTGTTGTTTCAAGCAATAGAACAAATAAATATCCAAGTATTTCCGATTTCGATTTTGTCGTCCGTTCTTTAAACTATATTTCTGCAATCCACGGAATCTTACAATATCCAATTATAAATAATAATATTTTCTTAATTTCATAATATACTCGTGAATACACACACTTTGAGAGCAGTTCCAAAAATTGTTTAAAAGTTTATTCGTTTAAATTGGATATTTATTAAAATATTTATTTCTACTCAAAACCAGGACCAAAAAGTATAAAACAATTTATATTTCTCTTCACATTCCATATCATAACTATCTCCAAATATAGCATATTTCAAAATATCTCTGAATCTTTAAGCTCTTTAAATCTACCCCCCTCTAACAAAGTTCTATTGCATTCAAAGAAAATATATACACACCCTTTCTATATATGAAAAACAAAAACTTAGTTTTGTAATTATTCAACAAAAATATAGATTTTCCAGCTTCTTAATATACTTTTTACGAATTATTCCAATATTTTAAATAAAGTACACACATTATGTACTTAATTCCACTTCGCAATTATGTAACTCCATTCAAAATAAATATGTTATTACAAAAGATACTTATGAGACAGATTTCAATACAAGTGAGTTTGGGAAAATACTTGTGAAATTTTTGAAAATAATGAAATGCCGATAGTTACTATCGCATATTATCGTCACTTAAATCGTCGCCGATCGATGAAGATGAAAGAAAGAAAGATGTTTTATTCTTATGGTATTATTTAACTATTTTTGCAAATAGCTTTGATTTGTACTTAATTCATATTTGATTTCTCGCTCTCACTCGTTCATGCCAAGTCACCCTGTTTTAGTGAAGTTAAATACACATAGCATCACCATATGATATATATATATATATATATGTATATAAATATATATATACTATATATGTACACCCACTGCTCCAACGTTCCACCGTTCCAACTGTTCCACTCGTTCCAAAGCATATTGTTATTAAATACAACTATTCTCAAGTATCACAAATTTCATACGCTCACCGCATAGCCTTTAAAAAAAACACAGAAAATCCACTTCAGCAAACCAAATCTCCACCAAATCCACTCCAATTATATCAAAGCTAGTAAATTTCCATACTTTCCATACAAGTTGATTTAGTTTTATGCTATAGACGCTTTGATCGTACTATCACTTTCTGCTTTCTTCACTATTTTTACACTTTTTTGACCCATTTCTCGGAATGATATTTTTTGCTCGAGAACCTTTTTGAACAATTCGATATATATATATATTTAAAAATAATTTTCTGCAACAGTCAAAAAAATAAAAAATATCATTTCGTTTTAAAGATATCCAGCGTTCAGTTTGGTTTGTGCAAATGGGTCAAGAATTTGTATCTCTGCATTCGCTTGCTGTTCCTTTTTGCTTAAAGAACCCATAAATTGCACTGCCATAACAAAACGCAATAATACCAAATAAACTATAAACAAAACAACAAAACTTAATTAAAAACACTTGTGTTAATATAGTATATAGTACTATATGTTCCATGTCACTGAGAGCCTCGTAAATGCACCCACAGGCATTGTTTAAAAAATATCTAGTCTTCCTTTACAGAACGACGAAGCTAAAAAAAAGGTTCAGCCAAAAAATATCATTTAGCAATTGTCGAGTTCAGAAGTCTTGACTGGCAGGAGCTGTACATAATAACAGGAGACAAAAAAAATATTACAAAATAATTTAAACTAATATTTTACAAGAATATATTCAGCTCCGAAAGAAGCTTTATGTAAAAAACAACATTTTAAAATTTCTAGTATAAAGAAAATTTTGTTTTTAGGTTTTTCAATATATATTAAAGATCGTATATAGATCTAACTCTTCAAATAGTAACTTTCAAATATGCTTTATTTGAGCTTTTTGATCTTCGAATAAATTGTATGTAAATATTAATTTAGAATACATGGATTCCAATTATCTATGCACAGCTCCAGTCAGCGGACTTTACTCCCCTCTCTCTCTCTCTCTCTCTCCCTCCCTCTCTCACTCAAATAACTTTAAAATCTGCTGATTATACCAAACTATACAACTTTTTAGAGCTAAACAAATTTTAAAGACGCGACCATCGAAAAAAAACCAAAAACTGCCTGAAGCGAACTTCAATCCCTCAAACTGTGGTTCTCTCTGATTTCCCAACTTTTGCTACTATAAAAAAAAAAACAATTGTTTTCGAATCAAATATTTGCAGGTGTTACAATTCTGCTGTCGCAAACAGTTTTCTCTTTATTGGTCGGCAATGTCATAACAAAGACGAGCGAGGCCGTACCGCTGCTAGGTACTAGTACAAACTAATTCTTTTTGTTATGCTTTATCATTTGAAAAAAAAAAAAACAAGTAAAAATCAATTTACAACTCCAGACAAATTCTTAGCGCTCTATAAACAAAAAAAAAAAAAACAAAAACTCTTTTTCTCTTTTAGCTAACCAAAACCAAAAAAAAATCAAACGAATGTAGCAAACGAAAAAAGTTTTCAAATCTAAAAAATCAACTGGCTAAAATCTAAAATCAAAAACAATTTATCAAAATTTATATATATATTGTACAAAATTTAATAATTAGAGCGACTGCAGGCTGTTCTGCAGTGCGTTTAAAGTAGGTACAAACTGAACATAATACTGAAATTAACGAGAGCATGACGTACAACTCCAAAGGATAACAAATACAAAAAGCAAAATATATATCCTATGGCTGCCGTAGCTTAATTCAACAAAACTCCCGCCCGCCCCGTTCCGCTCGCCGCCCCCTCTAACAAACAACCGTATCAAATGCTTTTTTAGACTTTGGCTGAACCTCTTTTCACTTTATATTCTCTTGTTAAGTGGAATGCTGAGCAATAAAAAATATAAAAAAAAAATCATTAAAGTAACTACAGCGTTCACCAGAAAAACAACAACTAGCTACAAAAAGTTGATTTCGGCTGACCGAAACTGAAATACTCTTGCAGGTCTCAAGACAGATTATATCTGACTGTTCGAAAACCTATTTGTTTCTGTAAAGAAATTCTAGCTAGTGTTCTTGTTAAGAACTTTTTTCTTTACTTTTTGTTTAAACTATTATCTACATATACAAAATTAATCTTTTTAGACAATTATCGAACAAATACTTGACGCAAATTGCCAACCGATTCTGTTTTATATAGACCAAAATTAACTGACTCGATATTTTTTCTTACCTAAACATAATGACCACTGCAAGGGTATTCAAAATTCTCGAAATCACTTGTACACTAACACAAGCTGACTGTGGGTGCTTTGCTTTAGATGCTTGCCACGCCCCCACTCTAATCAAAACAAAAAAAAATAAACCCCTTAACTAACTAAATACATATGCATTACTCGTATGCAAGCTATGCTTTAAGTATAACTCTAAATATACAAATATCTTGTATAAGTTAAACATTCAAGAATTCCTCACATCCAAGTATCAAAAACTGACTAAATATTGAGAAATTGTAAAACGCAAGCGGTCAATCGCCTTAAATCAATTACAATTTTTACTTAAACCATTTTTTTTAAATATATACAGAAAGCATACCATAAATAATTTCTTTGATAAACCCATGACTAACATTCAAATAAAAATTCAAAAATAAAAACATAATACAATAATAAAAGAAATACAATTTGTTTGCCAGAGCAATTGAATCATCATAAACTCACATTTTACTTCTTTAAAAATGGCTTATATATCATAAACGCATGAATTTTAATTTCTTGTAAACTTTTGAATGTTGTGTAAACCATAAAAGACAGTCAAGTAGTCAAAATAATGTAGTCGAGCAAAACGGAATAAAAGTTTATATTAGATTTTGTTCATAAACTAATAATATTTTTTGCATTCACTTTATATTACATGCAAGAAAACAATTAACATGTATATATTGCATATTTTATTACTAAAAAGGGCCTTCTATAAGTTGCCTATTCACACGCATACATGCACATGTTACGAGTATGAGAACTCTTATACTGCCGCAACGTTTTACTGGCAGCCGCAACGTTTCACTGGCAGCTCAGCCCACATTATTTATAACTATTATAACATTTTTCATACATTAAAACACTACAAGAATAATATTTTTCAAATGTGTGCAAATGTCAAGAAAATATTGTATCAATCTTATATTTATTTCAAATATATCCATCTATATTCCTATAAATACACTATATATTTGACTACATGGCTGACTTTTCTACGCAAAACGTAAACCATTTCTTTGAAAATGCATGAACGACACGTATAAGCCGACCGATCTTAACGGCATGTTAAAGCATGTTTAAGTAAATGTGAAACGCTTTAAGCAGCGTCTAAACCGTAATGCATGTGCAAATACCCTGTAAATTGTCGTGTAATATCGCTCACAGCATTTGTATGACACACTCGCAAATTCTCAAACTACTCTATTATTTATCATGATATTACAAATTAAGAAACGTAATGCAAATGCTGTTTTTTTTTTGTAAATTTTTATTTCTAAAGCTTCTGTTTTTAGTGTTGCTCAATTTTATGAAGACCCATGGAGCGTATACTACTAATATTGGATAAAACTTGTTCTCTTTTTGTTTGTTTGCTTATTACAAAACGACATTCAGGTACATATTTCAACTGTATCATGTTCATGGTTGCGTCGTCTGTGGTGCTTACGGTTGTGGTGCTCAACTATCATCATCGCACAGCGGATATACACGAGATGCCACCGTGGGTATGTCAGAGACCCAAAGCGATTCCCAATTGAATACTAAAGAGTTGCTATTTTTTCGCAGATCAAATCCGTTTTCCTACAATGGCTGCCCTGGATATTGCGCATGGGTCGGCCTGGTCGAAAGATCACGCGCAAGTCAATATTATTAAGCAATCGCATGAAAGAGCTGGAGCTGAAGGAACGTTCTTCCAAATCCTTACTAGCCAATGTTCTTGATATCGATGACGATTTTCGTCATACAATATCAGGCTCTCAAACCGCCATCGGTTCGTCGGCGTAAGTATTGAGTTTCTTTTTTCGACTTATTCGATTTTTAAATTTGTAAATCGACGACTTTTTATCGCAACTGTAGCAGCTTTGGCCGACCCACAACGGTGGAGGAGCATCACACTGCAATAGGTTGCAATCACAAGGATTTACACTTAATTCTCAAAGAATTGCAATTCATAACGTCACGCATGCGCAAAGCTGACGATGAAGCGGAATTGATAAGCGATTGGAAATTCGCTGCAATGGTTGTGGATAGGTAAGTTATCGAAACGGGGGATAAGAAATAGCTGAATAATCCAGCCAAAATACACATTTTTCTATTCTGATTGCCAAAATGAAAACACGTTTTTCAAAATGTTACACTTTTTCTTTTGGGCGGGATTTGAAGTTAGATAAATCTATCCATCTTAAACTCTTGCAGTGGGCAACATTCTCGTTATTTGTAACTAGTTTCCGATTACTGAAATTTTAATACTTAATGTTAGATACTAACGGTTTAGTTAAGGTTTAAATTTAGTGTCACATTTTAATAGATGACAAAGAAATCGTTATCCATTTTAAAAATCATGGAAATCTATCATTATTATAATTAAAATTATTATTATTGTTGTCACTATTTGTGCATTACTGCCTGTTCCCATATATCAAAATGATTACAAAATTAAATGAATGTCTGCCTTTTCAGCACATTCATATCGATTCACATTAGAGTTATGGGTTTAAGCTAGGGAAAATCTGTGATTACCCTGAATTTGGTTCAGGCTGTCCTGGCTGTCCGTCTAATATATAGTGACATAAATCTAGTAAATAACTAACACAGTGACTGCAAACATTGCGGTTACTAAGAACTGCCTGACGCTGTACTAAATCAAACAATTAAGGCAACAGCCGCATGGCCACACAACTTCCGGTTATTTGCCCTAGCATACAAACACACCCATGCACACCACGTGGCATTAACAAACCAGCATGGCGGTAGGTGTACAATTGACGCCATTTTGTTGTTGGGAAATGTACATAAAATCGTGTGTGCGTGCTTGTGTATATAAGACTTGCACCATGCTTATACTCTATACATATTTAATCTATCTTTATCATTCTATTTTCTTCTACTTCACAGATTTTGTTTAATTGTTTTTACGCTCTTTACGATTATTGCAACGGTAACCGTGCTGCTCTCAGCTCCTCACATAATCGTGCAATAAGGCCGCTCAATTTAGACACGTTAAGCTACACACACACACACGCATACACACCGGTACACATATACACATATACGACCCATGCTGTATATGTGAGGATGCCTAGTTAAGTTCTTTTTCAAAACAACAACTAGAGAAGCTGCTTTGCAAAAAAGCAAAAAAAATAAATTGAAAAAATTGTTAATTACATTTTTAAGTCAAAGTATAAGAAACGCAAGCGAGAAAATGCTAGAAAAGCAAAAGACACACTCAAGAAAATTTCGCATATGAAATGTAAAATTAAATAACACAATTCGTGTGTGTACTAAACAAATATTTTATGAAAACAAAAACACAAAAAACAAAAAAAAAAAAAAACAAAGCAAAAATTACTGCCGTACAACAAAAACAAAAAACAAGAAAAAGGAAAACAAATAAATAAAAAAAAGAAAATGTTAATTGTCTAAGTTAAGAGACAAGAAAAGAAAAAGTTACCAAGTAAAGAGCAAAACACAAAAAAAGAAAACAAAATAACAAATTTGCATAGTAATAGCAAAACAAATTACTAAACAAAACGTTTCAGAAAGAGAGAACAAAAGGGATTAGGCAATTATGTGCGCACATGTAACACACACATGCATATACATATATATATATATGTGCATGTGTATGTACAATGAGGAACTTATAAGTTAATTACGCTGAGTTGTTATAATTTATGTATGTTAGCACACACACACACAGAGACACACACGGCAAGAGAAGCGAATACATTATATGTATGTATATAAGAGAGATTGTTCCTATGAGACATTAGATATGTATTTAAAACTCACACACGCAAACGCACACACACTCAAGCACTTAATTGAGTAATGCAAATAACAAGGGACAGCAGCCATTTTATTAGTGAAAGTGTTTAAAATTCAGAAATAGACAAAAATCTTACAAAATCCATTCTTTATAAATAATTGATTCGTTTTATATAGTTTTCAACTTGTGTTTACATCACGTGGACCAAAGCAAAATATTATTTGAATTGTTTTTTAACTAATTTTAAGCTAATGAAATATTTTTCAATTTTTTCTTCAACTAATCTAGACCTTCTTTTAAATTCAAATTTATTTTATTTTCATTTTGTTTAATTTATATTTATCTGAAATATTTTTGTAGCTCACAAAATTGTTAATAAGTCGTAAAAGATTTAAGTAAGTTTTGTTTAAAGAAATTTTTATACATTTCTGTTGTACAAAAAAAAGTAAAATAACAAATTCCGTTGAGCGTGTGTTTGAGATGTGTGTTTAGGATAGCATCTAGGTGGGGCATAAATGGCAACAAACTGACACATAATAATAAATATAATTAAATATAATAAAAAGGATATAGTACCATATAGTTAATTTTTAAAACACGCGCATACAAAAACTAAATATTAATAAATAAGAATAAAAACAGAACAAATACTTTGAGAATATGTTCATTGAACAAACGCTGTTTTTAGAAAATTTATTGTTGAAATGTTGTAGCAAATTGAGAGAAAAAGAAACGCGAAAAAAAAACACAAGTTATAGTCACCAATTAAATGCAAATGAGAAAATTAGCCAAATCAAGAAATAAACAAAACAAACTAGCAATACGAATTATGGAAAGTATAAATAAATAATAAACGCTGGTGTATATATATTTTATGACACATATATCACCGCATAAGCTCGTATACAGATATATTTTTAATAAAACGGAAAACGGAAGCAACAACTACAAACACTTAGCAATCCAAGAAACCAAGAACAACCAACAAACAATAATACTGCAAAAACAAAAACACAATTTTGTTGGAAACTTTCAAACATTTTTCCAATTATGATTTTCTTTTTTTTTTGTAATTTTCTTTTCAAACATTTAGTTATACTTCCGATTTGTATCCTAGCTAAAAACAAATTTGTTTTCAAGCAAATAAATACAAAGCGAAACAGTGATATTTATGGTTAAAACGCTCCCAGATTGTAAAACTTTTCAAAGACCCACCTATAAGAACCTTTTAATGTACATTTTTTCTACGCAAAAACCAAAAGAATGAACAAATATACTTAAAAAAAGAAAAAAAAAACCTACCTCCTTGTTAAAAAGCGAAACACCTGTTGAAAATGTCTCGTAAACACTGCCGTATAAACTCGCACATACTCGCTATATATCCCACATTAAAAACTAACTCCAATCTGTACTTATGTTTATCCCACCCGACTCTGTCTATCTCTGTCTTACACATCTAGAAATTTCTAACAGAATTGTGCCAACTCTCGCTCGCTCTCTCTCTCTCCCTCTCACTGATTAGCCAGACATAATTTTACTTAAATCGGAAAAGAAATACCCATTAATATATGCACATATATGAAAGCTTAATCAATCACACACAGACATATACACCCACCCACCCACACACACACACACACACACATGCAGACACACACACTGAAATGTGAGCTGAACTAAACATCTGAAGGTTATACGACTTTTTATATACTTACTACAGGGCACTCGATTTGTATGTTTTATTTTGCATTTGATATAATGTAATTTTTGACAACCGATAACTGTTCTGTCCCCCTGAGGTTGTTTTAGAGAAGGAACACTAAAAACGTGCTTAATTTTGATTTATTCTCATTGAAGTACCCTTTGATATATTTTGCAATTTGCGCAATTAGCAATGAAATTCAATTGGAAATAAAAGCGTTTAGCAAGTATTTAATTTTTTTGTAATTAATTTAGTGCTTAACTTCGAGCAACTAGGCGCATAATTAGAACTACTATGTATTTCTATATATATATATATATAAATAAATATATATATATATATATATGTGTGTATGTATGTCTTTTTGATAAAAAGAAGCTATTTTAAAAAAGCAAAAACCATTTTCTACACTCTTTAAAAGATTGAAGTCTACATGTATGTATTATAATACTATAGCATTAAATAGGCAATTATAAAAAGAAAACAAAACAAAAATGAAAACTAAAGTTAAATAAAATAAGCGTCCTACATTAGGAGAGGACAACTTGAAGAAAAAAAAACGAATTTAAAATTACAGCAAAAATATGTTAAAAAAAGAATGACATCTGAAATGGCAAGTTATAGTAACAAAAATGTTTTATCATTTGCTAAAAGTTTAACAAAAATAAGAAAAAACAAAATCTCGAATTACTATTCTGCTGATCAGAGTTACACTAAATGCTTATTAGAAACAAAAGGTTGGCACACACACACACACACACATACACACACACATTTGTCTTATTCAAATAAAGAGCAGCTCGCAAAATTCAGACAATTCCGTTTTACTTTTTGTTCAATTTTTTTTACTGCTGCCCATCTATGCAGCTAAAGAACTAAAGCATAAACCAGATAGATCGGTTCCCATTTTAAAAAATGATATAATTAATATTAGCATTTAAATAAAAAAAAAACTAGGCTATTAACTGCAAATGTTAAGCACTAAAACTCACAAAAAACCAAACCAAACAAAACAAAACCGTTAAATAAATCCCAACGCCTATAAAAAAGTTTCCCCAAAAACTACCAATTCAATTTAAATAGCTAATTGCATAATTAATAATAAATCGTTACCGCAAATTGTGTAAACTCAAAATGGAAACCCAATTAATGCATGTAAAGATAATGATTATAAGCCACAAAAACCAAAAAAACAAAATAAAAAGTCTGTTGTCGATACGTATTATTGACAGACAAATAACTTTCGTCACATTGACGATAATAATTAATTGTAAGCAGAAACGGAATTAAATGATTTAAATAGTAAATTAACCTTAAAAATCGAGAGAAATGAATGCGACAAAACATAAGCAAAAACCAAAAAAAACATGAAAAAACTGAATAAAATTTATTTTGAAAAGAGAATAAGAAATTTTACTTCTTTCGGGCAATTTCAGGGCCACTTACACTTTTTTTTCGACATATTTGCTTTTTATAAAAGAAATAAACGTTATTTTTTTAAAAATAGGTCCTCGTGGGACTTTTTATGATATGGGCAAATATAACAAAAAACATAACGTTAATGTCCCATATGCCGTATAACAGCTGTCAAGCACAGCAAACATGTTATCGATATGTACTGTAACTTAACAGTGCATAGCTAACAGCTTGCCTTTTGCGTTAACAGCTAAAGTGTTACTCCTAGCCCTGGTTAAGCAGCTGTTTAGACAAAGCCAGTAAAATTTGTTTAAATGCAACACAAATTTAACAAATTCATTAAATTGTTGAAATAAAGTTAAGAATATAACATGAACATAGACCTGCGCAAACTGTGCCGCATTTGTTTTGTGGACAACGCCGACATAGACATAACGCAACACAAAGTGGTGACAGCGAGCCAAACAATCGACGCAGACGCCGAGGAGGAGGAGCACACAATATGCGAAATAATGCAGGCCATATTTGTAGGTGCACAGAGTTAATAAGAGTAACATAATTATTTATAATGCACTATGCCCGGCACAGCACATCTCATTGGACCTGTCATCGGAGCTGCCCATGATATGCAATGCCTGCCTGGAGGAATGCCTCATGCACTATGCATACTTCAGCAAGCTGATGATTGCCAATCGCCAGCTGCGTCAGCTCTACAACGAGGCACAGCTGGAGCGGGAGCAGCTGGAGCTGGAGGTGGAGTTGGAGGGTGACGTTCAGCTGATAGAAGTCAACGTGGATGAGCAGTCAACGCAGCAGGACCCGGAGCAAATGCTGCTGGACCTGCCACGTCCCTCACAGCGTTTGGCCAACGAGGATTCGCTGATTGTATCGGAATTTCTGCCCGCCACCGAACTGCACGAGCAGGAGCAAGCCGAAATGGACCAAAATCTATCGCATTTTCCCAGCTACGAGCTACGTACACTGGACTATGCGGCCGTTGAGCTGAAGCACGACAATCTGGATGAATACAATGAAACGAACCGCCTGCTGGACAGCGAGCCCAGCGGCAGCCAAGCCATTTACAAATGCAAATACTGTCCGCTGGCCTATGCTTCGCAGCAGTTCCTCAAGACCCATGTGCGCCGGTCGCATGTCTGCAAATACTGCACCACAGCCTTTGTCAAGGTGAAGGAACTGAACGCCCACATACGGGACAAGCATGCGAATAGCCATCAGTGCGTCGTCTGCCTGAACAGCTTTAGCACCAGCAGCAATTTGCGTGCCCATCTCAAGCGAATGCATGGCGTCCAGCTGCCCGCCCAAGTGGCCCTGCTCGACTATCGCCCGGCGCACAGGGAGAACGGTCAGCGGCAGAGCGTCGAGTATGATAAATAAATTAATTTCTAGAGAGTTACAGATTTGCATCTCTGTACATTTTCCAATCTCCATTCAATTTGCTTTTAATGACCAAAATAAATGTGATTTTTCTCTTACCAAATCGCCCTGCTGCTTGTCCAAGCCATCTATATACATGGGCGTAAACTCTCGGTAGGCAATGCAAACGCGTCGCTCATCCACATCCTCGCGGAGCACCGCATGCTCGAACTGATAGCGCGCCGGTCCATAGAGCACAATCAGCGAGAGGCTGCAAGGGATCAAGAAAGGGTCAATGGGTCAATGCACATGCAACTCGGCACAAGTTCGAGTTCTCTAGTCGAAAGTGCTCGACTCGGCTGATACCCTATAGAAACTATATGATCAGTCCGGCTGAGCCTGACAACAAAAGGATGTTCCCCTACCACGCTAAGCCAAAAGATTCGTTTGCGAAGAATCAGACAGACACACGGTTCACCTGTTGATACTGGACAAGCTTTCACCTGACTAAACATTTAAAACTCCATAATAAACATTTTACCCAAATAGAGGGTATAATTCGCAATCTAAACTTAGCTCCAATATACTGCAAGATCCACTACATTTTAAAAATATATGCACGCAGGGATTATAATCAGATACTTACTTTGGCATGGGTATGCGCAGCACCTTGCCCTTGTAGGCCGCCAGCTGGTCTGGCGACAAGAGCGGCGCCAGCAGCTGTGCTTTGTATTGCTGCACCAAGTCCAAATTATATTTGTTTGCCTGCTGTTCCTCGTAGAGGTTTAATGTGAGCACTGCATCGCCCAGGCAATTGACGGTGACCACACGCTCGCCCCATATCCAGCAATCGTCCACATGCGGATCTATGCTGGCGCCCTTGCTGGGATCATACTCCAGCGAGCATTGTTCAATAGTCTGAAAGTTGCGCAGCAGCGGCACCGACTCGAAACGTTGCTGCACAAAGCGCGTGTCAGCGGGAAAGCCCTCGAAGGCGCCCAATTGCAGGCGACGCTTCTTAAAGTTGGTTTTCGGCCCGTAATTCTGTTTGCGTCGACCGCTCTGCGAAATGGCCCAGGGCAGCGCGTCCAGGTCGGACATAAGCTGTGCGCCTTCTGCACTCGTGAGAAACTGCTCCTGCACCAAAATGCCTGGCAGTGGCAGACTCTCGGCCAAATTGTGATCCGGATGTGCCGCTTGCACAGCCTGCGTGTCCCAGCCGGCGTATAGACGTTCACATTGTGCACAATAGGACCAAGATTCCAACTGTTGCAATTGCTGCTGCAGTGATGGTTTATCGATTTGGTAGTCCTGTTCACAGGTGAGGCAGGTGCGCACACCTTTGCAGCCGCACGGCCGCAGCGTGTTCATTTTAATGTATCCAAGCAATTCAGCGATTTGCGGAAGGTGCAAAATTATGGGCGCCAGACGCTCAGCTGTTATTTGACACGAGTTGGCAGCTCTGTCATCTGTCTGGCCACACGGTACACGATACAGCCGCTAGTTTATCGGGAATATTTCCGTTATTTCTGGCCGGAGCAAATTAATTGAAGAAATATGTTAATAAATAAAATGAGACAAATTTAATTAAATGCAAATAAGTGTTTTCTTTGTTTGTAAATATACAGTATTTTTGCAATAGAGCTATATCGACTTTTATTATTTTTAAGTTAAATACTCACTTTGGAATGGGTATGCGCGCAGATCTTGGCTAACATGGAACCGTTGGTGCTCCAGGTGCACCGCCAAACATATATATTGTATGCAATGAAAATATGAAAACCGTTGCAATTGCTCGTTTAAATAGTCCTGCTCGCAGGTCAGACATATAAGCACTCATAATAATATCTTAATAACCACGGATGCACGAATAATATGTCAATTAAATTTTCGCGAAATTAACAACCTCAGGCGCCAAAACACTTAACACTAACGCCCACCATTTTTTAACACCAACTGGCAGCTCCGTGGCAGCTAAGTGGCAACACTCGTACACGATATAGCCGATGAAATGTTAAGGACATAATTGATGAGAGCAAAAAATGCAGTAGATGTTCAAGAATACAAATGGAATAAAAATGGTATTTTTACCAACTTTTAATTACATACGAAACTACTGCTAGTCAGTAAAATAGTGTTACGGCTTCTTATAGACTAAGAAAATTGCAATTTGGCATTCTTCATTTGATTCGATACTATCGTTTGCACGTCCGGCTTGCTTGTGACGTGTGTGCGCCTGCATTAGTGTTTTGGCGCGTTTTGTTGCTTACACAGCTTGTGAAATTTGTGGAATTAATATATTTTTAATCATACTTAAACAAAATGAACGATTCCTGTAAGTTGTTGCTTATTATACTGACGACTTGTAGCTAAACATTGTACTCTCTTCCCTTAGTTGGAGATTTCAATGCCACACAAACGGCCACTGCCGGCGCCACAAAGGAAGCCTCCGGCGAGGTACGTTTAATGTTTGCAACTAACTTTTCGCATACCGTAATTAATATTTATATTGTACAGGGTATTATTTCGCTGCTGGTCAAGCAGATTATTGATTCACCCGAGGGCAATTTCAAGATGTTCGATGTTACCTACGCTTTGGTCTGCGCCGTGGGAATTGTGCGCAACATTGAAACGTCCTCAACGAAGATCACATACTCCTTGGAGGATCACAGTGGACGCATTGATGCACACTACTGGCTGGAGGAGGGCGATGCCATCAAGTCGCCCGATGTGATGATTAACAACTATGTGAAAATCTATGGTTCAGTGCGCTCGCAGGCGGGCCAAAAAGTTCTGATGGTCTTCAAGCTGATAAATGTGCTAGATCCCAACGAGGTGTGCACCCACATTCTGGAGGCGTTGCATTCGCGTTACAAGGCTGAGGAGTACCATGTCAAGGGCGACACATCAGCTGCAGCCAGCAACACGCTAATGACCAATGTAACTGCCACCCAAAGCAATGCCATTGTTGCTGGCCTGGACAGCAAGCAGCTGGCCGTCTTCCAGGCCATTAAGAGCAACTGCTCCGAGGAGGGCATCCATCGACGCGAACTGAATGCCAAGTTCTCTCACATAAGCCAAGCCGAAATGAAGTGAGTTCTGTTTATCTGTAAAATAAGATGTTATACTTATGGTTATCTTAATCTCAATCCACAGCAACATACTGGACTTTATGATCTCCGAGGGCCACATTTACTCCAGCATCGATGCAGATCACTTTATATGCACCATGTAGTTATTTATTTAATGCTATGCTACAATTTACTCTATATATATACGACATAATTAAGTATCTTCAAGAAACTATATACCTAATTATTTCATTTTGTCAACTACTTTGAAAAGGTTCGATTCCATTCGATATTTGATTTGAATGCATTTGTATTCAAACTTTAAAAACGCGATTCGACTAAGTCGTTGCGCCTTCTCAGCTATTTTATAAATAGAAACACGTAGGCAAATCCAACTAGCAGACCTGTTTCTAATTCCGAAATCGTTTGATATTTGCGGAACTCAAATTTGGTTCCGCAACGTGCTCGGGCTTCAACTTAAATCGATTTTATATTAGCAAGTATTACTAGAATAGAATACTTAAGGCTTATTGGATAAAAATATAACCTTTTCCCTGAGACACGGCAGTTTCCATCCAGGTTCATGGATTTTTCGAAATGCCTGAAGCAGTAAGGTCTTCGGTCTTTTTCACCAATTTCCCACCCGATTTCGTGGAATTTTGTTAAGCTCCGTGGAAATGCGGAGTGAAAGTCCACGGCTTAAGGTTTTCTTCTGCTCGGTTTCTTCGGCGAAATTTGTTCTCAAGTTTAAATCGATTTAATCGCACGGGTGGAAAATGAGTGAAAAACATTTTAAGAATAAAAAAATGAACTAATACTATAACATGCATATTGATGTATAGTATTTAGAAAAACATCAAGTTTAAATTTTCATCTTATTTTCTTTTGAGATTTTTATTACTTGCGTACAAATTCACAGAGGGTACATTTTGTTTTACGCTTTCTTATACTTAATACTTAATCAAGTTAAACCTGTTTTCAATCAAACAAATGCTGCTTGGTGCTCAATACTAATCGTTTGTTTTTATACATATAGTATAGGTGTATATATGTATATATATATATACACATATATATTCTCTACAAGTCCTGGTCTGGCGCTTAGTGTTTGCTTCCAATGTGGAAAATAGTCAAAAGCGTCGCATGATGCAGGGTTTGATGCAATGATTTTCTACTTCTGCTCACTGTACAAATTATAAATGGGACGTGGTGCAAATCAGTCTTATGTGCCTGTAGGTGGGCGTGGCTGTGGGCAATTGTGGATCCTTGTATGGAGCTCAGATCTTCAGACAGCTGCGATGATTACCGCTGCGCGCATAGACCTCCTCGAAGGCATGTATCAGCTCGTCCATGCCACGCAGCAGACCCTCCTCGCGATTGCCAGGTTGCCAGGGACTGCGATGATTGACGCTCAGCTGTGGGGGCAGCTGTCGCGATTTGGCAAAGTCTATCAGCCAGGCGCCAACGCGCTGATCATCGTAGACAATAAATAAACTGGAGCCGATGATCTCGTGGCGACTGAAGAATGCCGACTGCTCGATGACGAGGCGCATGTGCTTGAGCCGTTTCAGCAGCTCCTTTTGCACGGACCTGCGTGCGGCCAGAAACTGTTCGATGGTCTGTGAGATTTGCTCGCTGCTACGACAGGTTTTGAGATCCTTGAGCGGTGAACGTCCGCGCAGACGCAGCGCCTCAATACGGAACCCCTTGCTCTGCGACGAGGATAACGATTCGCGGAAGAGCATGTAACGCAGCTTTGTGATGGCCTGTGCTTCGTGCTCGGCGGGCGTCGGTGCACTGGCATCCACGGCAATCATTTTCTGATACAGATCCGGACGCAGCGTTTTGTTGCTGACCTCCGATTCGAGAAAGGTGCGAGTGCCAAGCTTAATGTCCATCACACACGGATCCTTGAATCCCGCCAGCAGATCCTGCAGCTCGATATAGTGCTGTGAGTGCAGCTCGCGCAATCCAAAGTAGCCGGGCACAATTTGTGAGGTTTTGGGCTCCTGCGAGATCATCTGATAGGCAAGCACCTCGCTGTCATCGATGCCAACGATGCGTTTGCGCACAATGCCCGTTGTGGTGGGCACAATGCTAAAGCGGGAAGAGAAGACAAAACTGATTGATTAGACTATGATTTTTTGGGGGCTCTATTTAAACTGCTTACCTTTCGGGATGCCCGGAGAGCTGCATCCAGCCGTGTGGCTTGGACTGCGTCTGTTGTTGTTGCTGTTGCAGCAGCAAGGGTGTGGCAGGTGCGCTCAGTTCCAAAGCGTTCTGCAAGGCAAATAGAAAATCATAAACATTATTATCATTATTTTTATTGTTATCAGTAAATCAACCCCATTGGACATAACAGAGTGAGATAGTTTTAGGGGAGTAAATAATTTCAAGGAACCCAAGCTTTACTTTGAACTAATCAAGAAACTCTAACAAGGAATCTAACAGGGCACAATGCAATTACGTAAGTTTTCAGAATTAAGAATGCCTTATTGAATGCAGTGTCAAGATTTTAATTAATATTAAAGCTAGCTTCGTCTATTTTACGCTGAATATTCATGTCTAATCATTATTCCGATCACAAGCTACAATAAATAAAGCCGAAAACGTATGGAAACGAATTTCATTGAGGGTTCCATGGCCCATTGTGTTTATCAGAAGGGTGCAAAAAACCTACTGATAAAGAGACAATAATATTTCACACTCGCTGCGATATCGGGCCCCTAGCGACAGGGACAAATGCAATGGAATTGTTGCATCTGTTTGAGAACTGGTTTCAGGCAAACAGAAACAGAAATCAAACATTTCATATTTTCTATAGCATGTGTTGTGTGTGTGATCGGGGACAGATTGAAGTACTTGCCGTCTGCTAAAGATTATAAATAATCAAACAAACAAAACAAAAACGAATTTGTTTTTATTATATGCAACGTCCTCCTCCCTGCCGTTCGTTAATATGATTGTAATGTGAAATTAATGCAGGCAGCACGCCAATTGTATGCTTATTGTCTGAGGCAGCAAGCAGGAAGCGTTTAAGCGTTTGTTTTGCCTTATGGCCAGTTAATATCGCATCGATATTGATTCAATCATCATAAAAGATCATCATAATATCGAACCCACACCTCAACCGACCAGAACCCAACGAGCTGGTACTTACAATGGCCAAGAACTTGAGCAGCGACATGTGCTGTTGTGTCGTGGGCATCGACGACTCCAGGATGCGAGCCCGGGCGGCTCTTTGCAGGCTCAAATAGTCGGCCAAGTTGTCGCAGTTCTCGTAGGGTATGGTGTTGAGGTACTGTGGAATAGATCAGATATATGAATATATATATATTGACGTCAGTGCCCTGCGTGAACCCAAGACGCGGCGAGCAATAAAAACAAACGAAAGCAAAACAAAATACATTTCAAATGGAGACTGCTCTACGCACAGATACCCTGCACTAACGAAAATACAGTTAGTATAAATAGCATATAAATGCATAGGAAATATCAAGTCTTTTTGCCTTGCCTGCCAGACTAAGAGCTACCCTGTACACATCTTTCTATTGAGTTTAACAGGTAACTTTCAAATGTATTAGGCGTTTTTTTTTAGATATTGCCTGGGAACTACTTGACTTTGAGATACCCTTTAAACATTTGGCGTATGGGGGTATTTGAAAGCAAATACCTGTGACTCAGTCGCTAAATAAAAAATTAGCAACATAAAAAACCAACCTGATTAATTATACAATCAAAATGCAACAGCAAAGTGCAAAAAATTCTATTTTGTTTACGCTGCCTTCGGATCGTATATGGCTTATAAAACGGCTCGTTGTTTTATGGGTCTCTGCCTCGGGGCTCGGGCCCATTTCAATTCTCATTCCAGTTGATCGATGTGTGTGGCTCTTCAACGTGCCCCCTAATGAGCCACTTAGTATGCAAAGTTGAATGTATTTATCAACCTGTTGTTGTTGCTGCTGAGTTTCCATAAATTGAGTTATATGCTTATAAGATGTTTGGGTAGTGCCATGGCTATAACAAATAACGAACCCGAACTCGAATTCTTGTAATTCATTTAACTAACTGTGCGGCCAATTGTTTATGCACAGCATCTTTATATAGGCAGCCCACAACTGCTGCTGGGCTTTAAACGAACTAAACCGAAGCCAAATCTTATCTGTTATCATTTAGCTCTTATCGCTTATCAGTTGCGATAGCACTGCGTCTTTTTCCATCACAAGTCAAGCGTCAACTTTGGGACAATAACATGGCACGAGCTGAGCTAATTTTTTGTTGTTTTGCGCGATTTGTTTTTTAATTTTTACGTAAGCTTGAAAAATTTGCATGTGTGCCACAAATTTGTCGCGCTTGCCCACCGTAGGCACAGTGTGCCAGCTGTCATTTACAATTGTTTGAGCACTAAATGCAAAAGGCATTAACTGGCATCTAGATATGAGTATGAATATATATGGAGGGGGCTATAGCCCAGCTATTGGTATAAAGATAATGTCTGTGGTCTGGTTTTAGATAGCGGCATGCGGCCAAGGTTGCCATGTGCAACAGTGGTTTAATAATATTGATAAGGACTTTGTAAATATGCTAAGCATTTAATAGAGATTTGTATTTTAAATAAACAATATCATATGGAAAATTTTTTAATTGAATTTTATAGTTGATTTTCAATTTAAATAGCTTTAATTGTTGCCTGGCAGCAACGAATGAATCCACGAGCCTGTTAAGTAGGCTGCACCTAAGCAAACGGCCAGTTAAGTTGGCTGCGACTGTTAAGTCGAGCTAGTTAAGTTGGCTGCAACTCATAAATTGGCTTGTTAAGTTGGTGACAACAAAATGAAACTGATTTCATACCATCAAAATGGAAATTAAATTTATGCTGCATCGAGAGATGACTCGCATCATTAAGCAACGAACAAATTTTGCTTACTAAACCAGTTTAAGATACCTAAAACACTTTTAAAAGCAGCTCATTAAAAGCCAATATAATATTATAGATTGAAGTAATTAAACACTGATCAATCTATGCGCGTTGTGTGGCCACTGTCAATCAAATGCATATCAAAAGCTATTAACCAATAATCGAGGCGAAAGTCGTGTGTGAAATATTGTATTTTTAGCACAGAGTTGAATCGCTGACCTTTATAAAAAATCAAAATAAAAGCACATGCAACAACAAGAGTTTGCGCTAGGCACTTAGAGTGAGAGATTACAGTAGTTGACAACATTTAATTATAGAATCGTGGACGCAGACGTCACACAGTTGTTGCCTTTATGTTTTTCATTGACAACTGGAACGACTAGCTACATATAGTTAATGCAAATTACAATTTTAATGATATTTGGTCGGGTTATACGTTAAGGCTTGTACATTTTTGCACGTACACATTTAACGACTATTAAGGTCTAGTTTATTTAAGAGTACAACAATTAGCACACTGTTTTAAAGCCAAGTGCTAAACAAGAGTTTAGACTTCTGATAAGGCAGGCTCACATATTATTTAATTTTTATATATTGTTACTTAATTTATTGTTTTTTGTTTTGTGGCTGGAAAAACCTCAGCGAAAAGCTTGGCAACCGTGGAGAATTTAAAATTGTATGAAATGAAAACAACAGACGACCGCAACGATAATTAGTTATGACATTTGCACACAAACGCAAAATATTACAATAATAATAAAGAGTTGTAAACCCATTTTTTTTATTATTTTGTTTTTGTGTTTTTGTTCGCTAGCTTTTCGTTGCGCTACAGGGCGCCGCTGTTCACACGCGACTTGAGTGCGTTTTCCGCACGTTTATAAACGCGTACGTTTTTATTTTTAGCCACTGTTTAACTAAGCTACAGTTTAGTAGTGTTTATTTATGACTACTTAAGAATTTGTATTGCCCCCGAACGAGCGTGTTAACTCAAAAAGCCGAATGAACAATTTTAAACCAACAAAATATACTCAGAAGAAGACAAAAAAAAAAGGTATAATAAATAAAACAAAACATTTCTGCTGGCAAATTTATGCGCGTGACGTCAAAGCGTTGAGCTGTTAATTAAACAAATTCAACTCGCCGAATTTGTCAAATTGAAACTTTAAGCTTAACTTTTTCTTTTTTTTTTCTCTCTCTCAATATACCCTGTGCTAATTAAGAATATTTAAAAAATGGCTATATGCCGTTTGCGGCAAGCGCCGCAAAAAGACACAAAAGACCTCAGGTAAGAATTTAAGAGGCATCATTTGAGTATGCCTAGACCCTACACTCTAAAGCCTAAGGTTATTTACAAATTAAAGAGGAAGCAATGCCAGCTGTGCACAGGGTATCCCCCAGTCGATAACTGGTCGACTGGTGGAATTATACTCATTTTACCTTTGTATTCTTTTTCAATACAAGTCAACCGTTTAAGCCTGCGGCGTGGCGACACGCACTTGACTTTTGTGGCAGGTCCCAGTCGAAACTAGTTTTAATTTCTGTGGGTCCGGCTTTGGGCCTGTAGGAGTAGGTGACTCAGTTACAGTCTCCTTTTTTTCTAGAACACAACCCTGACATTCAATAAACCGGGAGCCCTCGAAGACGCTGTGTCTGCATAGAGAGCTCGCACAGGGAGCAGCAGGGGCAGCCGGGGCGGCCAGGTGACAGGCGGGCAAAATTCACAAGTCGCTTGATTTGCATTGACGTCAATGCATTGTGGCCCCCCACAGGGGGGGGGGGGGGGGGGGTTGTAAGAGGAGAGTTAGGGTTAAAAAATAAAACCAGTTATGGTTTATAAAACATAACGCATTGTAGTTACGTTATACGAAACGAGGCGAAAGAAGATGAACGCAGGGCCAGCGACTGCGATTGAAACAGGTATATTAAACCTAGTATATCAAAAAGCTGCTGTCAACGGGCTGACAAATGTTTAAATTTAACAGTTAGACTGAATAAACTCAGCCTAACTGCCATCAAGCCAGCTAAAAGCCATAAGAAAGAGCTAAGCATGTCAATTTTAGACACGCCTCGCTAAAAACTATAAATCTGCCAATAACCTCTAGAGAGAAAGAAAACTGTGGTAAATCCCATTAGTAATCTTCGAATTTTGGTAATCCTATGATTAATCTCTTTCCTTTTAATTAAAAACAATATGTTTTTGAACACTTGTGATGCGTCACAGTGAAATTTCTAAAAAACGAAAAAACAATAAACTGAGCCGAGCTGTGACTAATAAGTAAGCATCGTAAGAAGAAAGGGTATTTGCTATGCTATGTCAACAGGTATATTGAAATAGAGTATACACAGATTTGCCCTGAACTTTACTCTACATTTCGTCTGACAGACAGCCTTCGCAGAAGACAAAATCGCAATTAATCAAGAAAACAAGCACCACTTATCAGAAGCCTTGATCCAAGCCGAAAATTTGTATTATAAAATCATATAATAATAATGAAATTTGTATAAAATAAAATGGTCTGGAGCTGATAATAATTTAGCAGCTGCTGACAGCGTGGGCCGCTGCACTTGACAGTTATATTCTCTATACAAATTATTCAAGTGCGCAATGTACACTGCACGAAATTCTCAAAAAACTTGTTGAGTTGTATTTTTTTTTTTGTATGCCATTATATATCAAGCGTATATACTTTGAGTGCAGCAAGGGCAAGTGTTAATAAACTGACAGCTGTCATAATTGTTATGAAAGGATGTCTATAAAAATGAAACAACAAAGCGACAAATTGATATGTGGCTAACATAAAGAGAGAATGAGAAACGTGAAGAGATGCGCTAAATAAAAGCCTTTCAATTGTTTTTCATAAAATGAATTGATTTGTTGTCGCCCAAGGCATGTGACTAAATGTTGGACTCCACTGTTGTACAGTGGTCGCTCGCATATTGCAACACATCGGATTTAGAGTTGGAATGGATTGCAAAATGTTTGCCAGAATATGCATTTTAGAATTGTTCCCTTGGCCATTCTAATTACCGAGTGTTCACTGTACCATGCCTAAGAGCGGCTCTTGCCCGTCTTAATTAGCGCTTTTTTTTGCGTTTTTATTGCCATATGCAAATTGACGTTACGTGGGTTACTGGAATTTCAGTGCTTGTTTACATGCCGCATAGCTCGAGGAAATCCGAACAGTTGTTTCAACAACTGCTTAAGATAATGCCCGGCATTGTTTGGCATTAAAAGGTTTAGTCATGTGCCCGCAGATAGATTGGGTTTGGCGGAGGAGGGATAGGTGCTGAGTCTTTGGGTCACTACTTTCTCTGCTTACGTTGCTTTCTACGCGGATGTATATTGTCGCCCAATTGACGTCATAACCTCTCTTAATATTTTGTTGTTGTTTTTGTTTATGTTTTGCTCCCCCCTTGTTAGCTTTCTTTTCGGTTACTTACCTCAGCATTACTGTTGTTGTCGTTGTTGTTGTTGTTGTTGCAGCTGCTGCTGCTGGATTTCGGCTGCTGCTCTACATTGCCAGACTTGTTGTTGCTGCTGGGTGGTGAAGATGGCGGCGTTGCCGTATCCAATGCAATCAATTTCCATAGCTGCTTCAGGCCAATGTTGTCGATGCACGAGAAACGCAATTTCTCGTGGGACCAGGCCATGGTGGAACGACTTCTCCTTGCCGTCGTTTTTGTAGCTTGTTTTTCCACTGTTTTTGTTGTTGCTGTTGGACGCTGCAGCACGGTTGAAGTCATAGTCATTTGGTTTTAGTTCTAGTTGTCCGGTGCACAGGGGCGGGTGTTAAAGTTAAGCTGTCTCTCGGTAATTAATTTTTCGCTTTATGCTCAATAGATTTGCATATTTTATTTAACTATTTTCATGCATATATTTCCTAGTCTCTTTTTTTTCATTAGCACATTGCATTTGCGTTTTATCTTCTCTTCTTTCTTGATTTCACACTGCACTGTTTACAGCTACACTTTGGTTGCTGCCTCGGCTTCGGTTTAATTTTTTGCGTTGGCCCGTTGCGAAGTCTTCACGAAACAAAAATGTTTGATTTTTAATTGATATTCAACGCACACGAAACGACATTCAGCTGTTTACGCGTGCTACTCTGTGGGGCAACTAACTGGTTTCGCCATACGACGGCCAGTTTTGTACTAAAGCCAAGCACTCACTCATCGGCAGCGACAGCGGCAGCGCAACGAGCCGATCGTCGCTCAGAGCGCAGCGAAGTGGAGAATGAGAGCAGTTGATGGAATCAGAGCGGGCGCAGCAGGGAGAGCACTAGCGACGAGCGCGAGCAGTGGGGCAGAGTGTACAGTCGGAGCAGAGAGCGCTAGCTGAGAGAAATACCCAGTGAAGAGTGGGCATAGCGAGGATAGTTTTTGGCGGAGTGTGTGGGGGAGTATTATTATAAGCAAGGGCGTGAGCATTGCACTCAGTTTGTTTTGATTCCAATAGGAGGATTATGGCGCGCCTCTCCCAACATGTTTATACTATGAGAAAAGGTGGGGCACGCTAAGACAGAAATAAACCAGATATATTACTCCATAAAAATATTGATGAAAAAGGTGTAGAAATATATGTACATACATATTTAAATATATGTATGTTGTATAGGTAAGAATATTTGTTTGTATATAATTTGTGACTCAATCGATTCGGTTCTGAAGTTAAAAGAAGCTGCATTTAGTTAATATATCATATATTTAGATTTGATCAGACAACGTATAGAGATAATAGAGGAATTGGTTTTTTTAAACCTGGGACGAATATCTTTGTCAACAGGACTAAAAACTGGAAAATTCTGAATTCAGCTCTATATATAGATACATACGTAGAAATAATTGATTCAATCTGTAGTTCTATTCTATAAATTCACTTGATCTCGAATGCGTTCAAAGTAAAGGTCTACTGCTGTGATCATACAACGAATAGTTTGAGGAGTTGCATAATGAAGCTTACTTATTTACTATCTCCGATGCGTAGTTGCGATACGTCGCAATTAGATAAGATGATATCGAAGACAAAGCTTATGATACCGTCCCGCATATGGCGCCATCTAAGGTCAGGCATTGAACTGTCTGGAAGTTGTTTATCCAAACTGTTGAACTGCTCTCGGGAGTACTTGGTACACATCTGATGCTACGGCATATCTGCATTGCAAATGGACAATACGCTAAATGCGCAGATCTTCTTCTTGGAACGCCTATAGAGGCTAAATGGAAGATTATGCAAACAACGCAATCCAAGATCTGCGCCAGTTTCTTGAGCTCTTTTCGCTGCAGGCCACGTCGGTTCATGGCCAACGCAAGGGAGAGTGCAAAATGCGCATATTTATGGGCGCAGACGTGGAGCCCGGGGGCCGCAACGTGCGTCAGACCCATGTTGAGTGACATACAAACCCCCAAGTTGAGTTTCGACATCAGCCGTCGTCTGCAGTTGCATGCTCCACATGGCAGCCACATACGTCAGACGACGACCGGAGGCCCCAATTGTTATGCGTAGCCAATGGCAATGCTAATTTTCGACGTAGGCCCAGACTCAAGACCCTCCACGAATGCATTGAACTTTCCGAATGCAGTGCAACGTGGCGTATGAGTAATGCAATCAGAACAAATCCAATCCAACTGCACGTGACCGTAACCAAATACTATTGAATGGAATAGTTAAAACTCGAATAATTAAAAATCAAAGCAGCACAAACAGAATTAATGAAGCGCGTTAGCTATTCAAATATATTGTTCCCAGTTAAATTAAAAACATAAAATACAATAATATAAACCGGATGTCATAACTCAAGAAATTGGTATATTTTAGTAGAACAGATGCAAGGATTTCAAGTATTATACCAGAAAGGAAATCTTAAAAGATTTTAGCAACCTTTCTACCAAACTAGTTTTTTAAAATATAACAATAGGAATTTATTTTATTTTCTGACATAGATAGTCTTAAATGTTCATCAATTTCCTTGGAACTTAGATAGTTTCTCTTTATAGCCATAGTTAATGATATAGCTATAAATTTTAAAAACCTCAACTAAAATTATATAAACCCTCATGGAGCAACAGATGCCTAAACGTACTTCACAAACGACACTAAAATGCCCGCTTGACTTTGAGTCAGCGAATAAGCAATTAGTTGTATGAGTATTCTAAATGCCAATTTGTGGGGATATTCGTCATGAAAAGCGCAACAATTTCATTCTTAACACTCATGAGTACCTACGTTCCGAGGCCTTCCGGATCCCTTGGGCCCACATAACGGTAACTGCAATATAAGTGCATTGCTGGGGCAGCATTTCAATTTATTGCAGCTCTATCAATCTCTCGGATCTCTTGATTGAATGTCGTTTCCAAACGGCGCTCTCAAATAATCATCGCGCGCGCTTTTGTGGAAGTCCACGAGAAATGCCCAAGCTTCAAGTTTGCTGACGTCAAACGTAAATTTTTGCTTGGCTTGAATGTGATGGGCGGGCTTGGTTCGGGGGATTGTGGCGATGATTACTGACATTTCTTTGTCATGATCATCATCAACAACAGCAGCAGCAGCAGCAGCGGGATCTGCGGGAGCAGCAGGAGCAGCCGAGGGTAGAGCTGTTACAGCTCAAGTGGATTTTTCTGTGCGCATCACTGGCCATCGGCAGACAAAGACAAAGGCAAAGACAAAGAAACGCCACCAGACGCAGACGTAAAGAGCTTCCAGCTCCGAGCTCCAAGCTTCAAGCTTCAGCTACAGCTCCCACTTTTGCTGTACCCTCAAGCTGTGACGTGTGACGTTTGTTTGTCGATACCCTTGCGGCGGGTATTGTAATAATTTCACAAAACATGTAAGCCTTTATATGGAGTAAGAATCGTATCCCATTTACTGCTAACACAGAAGTTACCTAATTCTATTTAATTTAACACCCAGCGTGAAGTTTAAGGAAATTTCTTCCGCAGTTCTTAAAAATAGTGGTAAACAGATTTTTGTTTATAATCCGATTCGCATAAAACTTATTTATAAAGCTTTCTTTGAAAATGTATTGCGAAAAGCCAGCTAATATTAAATACAGGATCTTGAGCGGGAAACTCACCTGTCTCTATTTACAAGCTCTTTCCATCTGTATCTACTTCTTTATTATATTGTAAAGATAACATGAGTACAATCAGTCGAAATTACATCAATTCCCATTCGATTATTTTCCGATTATAATCGATAAGTGTATTCAAGCTTCGTCACGCTTACTTAAAGTTCTTGCTTGTCTTAAATAATTTTTTTAAAATTTTTTTTATAAATTTTGCGCTTTCGATTGACGCATTTGCGTGTCACTTGACTTTTTTAATCTCGCGACTTTATCGTAGCTCACGGACCGACAATCACAATCGCAATCGGACTCCGACTCCGACTCTGATTCCGATTCATACTGAATTGTTGCTGAAATGTAACTTAATAGTTTGCTCAGGTAGCGCCGCTTCGCTGGCTCTTCCGCGCCGGGTCTTAACGATATTTTTTTAGTTGGCTTTAAACTATTTCAGCTATTGTTGTTGTTGTTGTTGTTGTTGTTGGTAATACGCAGAGCTTAACAAAATGTTTGCTATAATTTTGACATGGTGCTCGTTATTAATTTATAATTCAATGACTTTACTGACGTCATAGTATTAGGCTTTGCGCAAAGCAACAACAACAAAAACATTGCCTCATTAACATGTTTGCTTTGTTGTGCGAGCGTCATGCTGAGCAGAGTGTGTGTATGTATGGGGGTGTGTGTCTGTGCATATAGCTGATCTTTACCTAGAGAAAAACACACACAAATTCATATAGGTGTGTGTGTGTGTGTGTGTGTGTGTGTCTAGCACTGGCGCCACAAACAATTAGGTTGGTCTAGGGGCAACACCAATTCAATAGCAATAACAAATATGTACAAAAATTTTGAATAGACAATCTGTAGGATGCTTGCATTTTAATAGAAAATCGAACATATGCCAAATGTTTATCTGGCTCGATATTATTTTAATATCTAGAAGCAATTTCCCACACTAATTTAAATCTAGTTTTAGTCAAAACAATATTTGTGCTAATCAAATTTCTGAAATTAACTTTGTTTTCTCAACTTTTTAAGTTTATACGAATTGCAATGCCCTTGGCTGACGCATTGAATTATATAAAAGGTATTTATACGCCTTATTAGACTATATTAGTGGTATTCCTTAAAGTAATGCGATGCAATTTCGCAGTTTCAGCATGACTTACTTGTTAAGGCGAGACTGAAAAAAAAAGTTTGTTTTGTTAATATTATTTATTTACATTCATTTTGTTTACACAATATATTTCTTATATTTTGCAATCGTATATTAATTTACTTTAGTTAGCTTTATTATTAGTCTGTATTTTTAAAAGGTTTTTTATCTAACTTTATATCTTGGCAATTAATTAACGTTGTTTTTTTTTTACTCCTATTTGATTTATTCAAGCCAGCAAGAACCCAGTTCCAAAATTGTTATCTTTTCCCGGCCAAACTTCTTAATTACCAGCTTTAAGCCAAATGATTTCTAGTTTCACTTTATCTGAAAGCCAGCATTGCTATAAATTTTAATATATTTTTACCCCAAGTTAAATAAATCATCAAAGCTGCGCTCACTAATCAATTGTCTATAAATGGCATCTCGGGTTTTGCCATAAACTGCGTTCGATTCGAATTTGTGTCACATGTACGCAAAACGGGATTGGCTGTAACATACGCATTTTCAACCGCAAAATACGTAAATCTCAGGCAGCTTCTGAGTTTTACTGGAATCTTTGACGTGCCAATTGAGGATTGGGGTCTGCTGCGTCATCAATTGGTGTTCAGGGAAAATATACCAAAATGTGAGCAAAATTTTAATGATTTTTTTAAAAGATTGTTGACGAATTTGAAATTTCAAAGGAATTATTATAAAATGTGAGCTGACCCATAACGTCATTAATTAGAAAAGAAAAGAAATATATGATTCTGCTGAAACTTCCAATTGAAACAGGCCAGACCTATTGCGTCAGTCGATAGACGATCGTAAAAGAGATCGAACTGAGATAGAACACAAAAATAATTGAATGAAAGTTCTTGTTTGTATATACAAAAAAATAAATGTTAATATTTATA